ATTTGTATAGCACAATTCATACACAAGGCAACTCAAAGTGCTGAACAAGATAGCATTAAAATCCTAAATAATCACAGAACATTAAAACGAAAGATAAAAATATAAAATCCCTCAGTTGTAGCACAGCTAAACAGAACTGTCTTTAACCTGGTTTTAAACATTGTCAGAGAGGAGGCCTGTCTCACATCTTCAGGAAGATTGTTCCAGATTTTAGCAGCATTAATCTGAAAAGCAGCCTCCCCGTGTTTAGTCCTGACTCTGGGCACTAACAGGAGTCCAGTCCCTGTGCTCCTCAGAGTCCGGGCTGGTTCATATGGGACTAACATGTCACTAATATATTTTGGTGCGAGGCCATGGAGAGACTTGTAACAAGCAGAGCTGTTTTAAAGTCTATTCTCTGAGCCACAGGAAGCCAGTGCAGAGACCTGAGGACTGGACTAATGTGGTCGTACTTCCTGGTTCTAGTCAGGACTAATGTGGTCGTACTTCCTGGTTCTAGTCAGGACTAATGTGGTCGTACTTCCTGGTTCTAGTCAGGACTCGAGCTGCTGCATTTTGAATGTACTGCAGCTGTTTTACAGCCTGTTTGGACAGACCTGTGAGCAGGCCATTGCAGTAGTCTAACCTACTGGAGACAAATGCATGGATAAGAATCTCCAGGTCTGCTTTAGACACTATGTTTTTGATCCTTTTATAAGTTGAAAACCGTCTAGCTTTTCCCCAAAAAAACTTTCAAAAGCTTCCATTTTGAGCTGAAACAGGTGATTTATTCCCCTCTGTATGGAAAGTGTGCATTCTAATCCATAAATGTGCTCCATCAGGAGGTGAGTGCTCTCCGTCTCCACACTGAGCCACTTTAACAGAGCGCCGCACGTATGTAAAGTAGTTCTTTCCACTAAACCAAACTACGAAGAAGAATGAATGTGTTTCCTATTGTGGACTGACCTTCAGGTGCGCGCTCCGCTAATGTACAAGCGCCCGCAGTAATCACAAATTATTACCTTCGACAATGCCCTGGAAATGTGCCGCTGATGTCAGAAGTGCTGCTTTAGTTTGTGATTAGTGCTGAGTGCTTCGTGACGACCTCCTCGCCACATACTCTGCTTTGATTCGCTCTCTGGTCTCTTTCTTTGGTGCGGCGGCGGCGTCATCATGCCCTTGCTTAATACTTAACCAGCTCCGTTGGCGGGTATTGACTTTGCACTTTAGCCACTTCACGGCTGCAGCGGAGGAAGAGGAAGGTCACCGGGGAGGACGGAGGAGGGAGTCCCCAAGAGGAGGCTCCAAAAACTGACTGAGGCCGTGTGGGAAGAGACGCCGAGATTTTAGAGATTTAAGAAAAAAATCATGTCTGGACATTTATGGACAATACATTTTATTAACATACAAATAACATGAAAACATAGGCATTTATACCAATCATGCTAACAATAACTACAGGAGTCCTAGTCCTATAGTCTCAGTCCTGGTCCTGTAGCCTCAGTCCTGGTCCTGCAGTCTCAGTCCTGGTCCTATAGCCTCAGTCTTGGTCCTACAGGCTCAGTCCTGGTCCTATAGTCTCAGTCCTGGTCCTATAGTCTCAGTCCTGGTCCTATAGTCTCATTCCTGGTCCTATAGCCTCAGTCTTGGTCCTACAGGCTCAGTCCTGGTCCTGTAGTCTCAGTCTTGGTCCTACAGCCTCAGCCCTGGTCCTGTAGTCTCAGTCCTGGCTCTATAGTCTCAGTCTTGGTCCTGCAGTCTCAGTCCTGGTCCTATAGTCTCAGTCCTGGTCCTATAGCCTCAGTCCTGGTCCTGTAGTCTCAGTCTTGGTCCTGTAGTCTCAGTCCTGGTCCTATAGCCTCAGTCTTGGTCCTACAGGCTCAGTCCTGGTCCTATAGTCTCAGTCTTGGTCCTACAGCCTCAGCCCTGGTCCTGTAGTCTCAGTCCTGGCTCTATAGTCTCAGTCTTGGTCCTGCAGTCTCAGTCCTGGTCCTATAGTCTCAGTCCTGGTCCTATAGCCTCAGTCCTGGTCCTGTAGTCTCAGTCCTGGTCCTATAGCCTCAGTCTTGGTCCTATAGTCTCAGTCTTGGTCCTATAGTCTCAGTCCTGGTCCTATAGTCTCAGTCTTGGTCCTACAGCCTCATTCCTGGTCCTGTAGTCTCAGTCCTGGTCCTATAGCCTCAGTCTTGGTCCTACAGCCTCAGTCCTGGTCCTGTAGTCTCAGTCCTGGCTCTATAGTCTCAGTCCTGGTCCTATAGCCTCAGTCTTGGTCCTATAGTCTCAGTTCTGGTCCTATAGTCTCAGTCTTGGTCCTACAGCCTCAGTCCTGGTCCTATAGTCTCAGTCCTGGTCCTATAGTCTCATTCCTGGTCCTATAGCCTCAGTCTTGGTCCTACAGGCTCAGTCCTGGTCCTGTAGTCTCAGTCTTGGTCCTATAGTCTCAGTCCTGGTCCTATAGTCTCAGTCTTGGTCCTACAGCCTCAGTCTTGGTCCTATAGTCTCAGTCCTGGCTCTATAGTCTCAGTCTTGGTCCTGTAGTCTCAGTCTTGGTCCTACAGCCTCAGTCCTGGTCCTATAGTCTCAGTCCTGGTCCTATAGCCTCAGTCTTGGTCCTATAGTCTCAGTCCTGGCTCTATAGTCTCAGTCTTGGTCCTGTAGTCTCAGTCTTGGTCCTACAGCCTCAGTCCTGGTCCTATAGTCTCAGTCCTGGTCCTATAGCCTCAGTCTTGGTCCTACAGGCTCAGTCCTGGTCCTATAGTCTCAGTCTTGGTCCTATAGTCTCAGTCTTGGTCCTGTAGTCTCAGTCCTGGTCCTATAGTCTCAGTCCTGGTCCTATAGCCTCAGTCTTGGTCCTATAGTCTCAGTCCTGGTCCTATAGTCTCAGTCCTGGTCCTATAGCCTCAGTCTTGGTCCTATAGTCTCAGTCCTGGTCCTATAGCCTCAGTCTTGTACGTCCATACAGTACACCATGAACTTACATACATGAGGAGAGGGGAGGGGGGTTGTGTGTGTGTGTGCGCGTGTTTTTTAAATTTTAACTTATTTTTTATTATTAAAGAACATGTATGGACATCTTTAACATGTTTATAGACATCGTTCAGTCCTGCTCCCTCTGGACTAAAGGCTTCTATGTCATTATTGCAGTTCAATTCAATTCAGTGGTTTCTTGTTTAGCCCTAAATCACAAACCACGGATCAGAGAATCAAATCGCTCAAACTGAAAACGGAAAACCAATGTCCGTGTTGATAAATGTTAAGCTCTGTTGGTGGCGAATGGACATCTTTGTGAGCTCCTCCGAGACGACACTGATTCTGTTTTAATTCTCCGCGATTAAAACAGAATAAATGTTTGTTTGTTTACAGAGGAGCGTCTATACTATAGTCTCAGTCTTGGTCCTACAGCCTCAGTCCTGGTCCTATAGTCTCAGTCCTGGTCCTATAGTCTCATTCCTGGTCCTATAGCCTCAGTCTTGGTCCTACAGGCTCAGTCCTGGTCCTGTAGTCTCAGTCTTGGTCCTATAGTCTCAGTCCTGGTCCTATAGTCTCAGTCTTGGTCCTACAGCCTCAGTCTTGGTCCTATAGTCTCAGTCCTGGCTCTATAGTCTCAGTCTTGGTCCTGTAGTCTCAGTCTTGGTCCTACAGCCTCAGTCCTGGTCCTATAGTCTCATTCCTGGTCCTATAGCCTCAGTCTTGGTCCTACAGGCTCAGTCCTGGTCCTATAGTCTCAGTCTTGGTCCTATAGTCTCAGTCTTGGTCCTGTAGTCTCAGTCCTGGTCCTATAGTCTCAGTCCTGGTCCTATAGCCTCAGTCTTGGTCCTATAGTCTCAGTCCTGGTCCTATAGTCTCAGTCCTGGTCCTATAGCCTCAGTCTTGGTCCTATAGTCTCAGTCCTGGTCCTATAGCCTCAGTCTTGGTCCTATAGTCTCAGTCCTGGTCCTATAGTCTCAGTCCTGGTCCTATAGCCTCAGTCTTGGTCCTATAGTCTCAGTCCTGGTCCTATAGCCTCAGTCTTGTACGTCCATACAGTACACCATGAACTTACATACATGAGGAGAGGGGAGGGGGGTTGTGTGTGTGTGTGCGCGTGTTTTTTTAAATTTTAACTTATTTTTTATTATTAAAGAACATGTATGGACATCTTTAACATGTTTATAGACATCGTTCAGTCCTGCTCCCTCTGGACTAAAGGCTTCTATGTCATTATTGCAGTTCAATTCAATTCAGTGGTTTCTTGTTTAGCCCTAAATCACAAACCACGGATCAGAGAATCAAATCGCTCAAACTGAAAACGGAAAACCAATGTCCGTGTTGATAAATGTTAAGCTCTGTTGGTGGCGAATGGACATCTTTGTGAGCTCCTCCGAGACGACACTGATTCTGTTTTAATTCTCCGCGATTAAAACAGAATAAATGTTTGTTTGTTTACAGAGGAGCGTCGTTAGAACAGGCTTTGAAAGGATTACAATCTGCTCTTTACCAAGTCGTCTCTTTTGGACAAACCAAATCTATTTTAGATTTAGATTCATGTTATTTGCCATTTGCAGTAAAATCACATTGACAAAGTTTTGCAAAAAGTCCATAGTTTGCACCAGACAAGTGCACACGTATACAAGGTTAAAACAACAGAAAACACAAGAAACTATGGACACTCCTCCTTCAGAACATTCTTTCCATTTTGCCGCCAATAACAAAACATGTCATAGATTGTACCTTGAGGAATACAACATCCTACTTTTGACAAGTTTTCAGAATGGTGATATCTGTTTGTATAATGTTCTGTTCAGATCCAACCGCACACACAGGTCCAGAAGGATTGAGAGACTGTAAAATGAGACATGTGCCTTTTTTATTGCTGTACTTTCTGTCGTCTGTCGGCTCCTTTAACTGTTCTGAGTCCCATTCCATCTGTCACAGACAAACAGCCACTTACTCTGACTCTTCTTCTTCTGCTTCTGCTTCTTGTTCTGCTTCTTCTTCTCCGTCTTCGTCTTCTTCTTCTGCTTCTTCTTCTGCATCTGCTTCTACTTCTGTTGCTTCTTCTTCTGCTTCTTCTGCTGCTTCTTCTTCTGCTTCTTCTTCTTCTGCCTCTTCTTCTGCTTCTTCTTCTTCTGCTTCTTCTTCTTCTGCTTGTGCTTCTTCTGCTTCTTCTTCTTCTGCTTCTTCTGCTTCTTCTTCTTCTTGTTCTGCTTCTTCTTCTTCTTCTGCTTCTTCTTCTCAGTCTTCTTCTTCTGCTTCTTCTTTTGCTTCTGCTTCTTCTTCTGCTTCTGCTTCTTCTTCTGCTTCTTCTGCTTCTTCTTCTTCTTGTTCTGCTTCTTCTGCTTCTTCTTCTGCTTCTTCTTCTGCTTCTTCTTTTGCTTCTGCTTCTTCTGCTTCTTCTTCTTCTGATTCTTCTTCTGCTTCTGCTTCTTCTGCTTCTTCTTCTTCTTCTTCTGCTTCTTCTGCTTCTTCTTCTGCTTCTTCTGCTTCTTCTTCTTCTTCTCCGTCTCCGTCTTCTGCTTCTGCTTCTTCTGCTTCTTCTTCTTCTTCTCCGTCTCCGTCTGCTTCTTCTGCTTCTCCTTCTGCTTCTCCTTCTGCTTCTTCTTCTCCTCTTGTTTAAACAGTGTTAGAGCTGAGCCACTTGTGTCCACTTTGTACTTGGATAGTATCTCTCACACTCATGACTGCTGCTGTTGTTACTGCTGCTACTGTACTGCTGGTGCTACTGCTACTACTACTACTACTACTACTACTACTACTACTACTACTACTACTACTACTACTACTACTGCTTCTCCTGCTGCTGTTACCGCTGCGTCTCCTAGTGTTTGCTGGAGCCTGTCACTCCGGGCCTGCTGTGTTTGTGCACCAAGTTCCGGTATTAATAAATGATGAATATTTATGCGAGACGCTCCTGCTTGGATGAAGTGGCGGCGTGCGATGGAGAATGCTAATGATGTTATATATAATTAGCTTCGACTCCGCGCGGCTTAATGAGCGCTCTTTGATATTGGGTTGTGTGGACGGGAAAGAGATGCAGGTTTTAAACTACGCTTGTTTTTCTGTTTCCCCTGAAGTCTTTCCATTTGTGGGTTTTTATAAAGCTCGGATTTGAAGACACTTTTTTTCCCTGTGTTGACAAATTATTTTGCTTTGACGTCAGTATGAAGGCATGAAGGTTTGTGTGACGACTGTTTGTTAGTTTTAAAGCCTCAGTCCTGGGTCTACAGCCTCAGTCCTGGGTCTACAGCCTCAGTCCTGGATCTACAGCCTCAGTCCTGGATCTACAGCCTCAGTCCTGGGTCTACAGCCTCAGTCCTGGGTCTACAGCCTCAGTCCTGGGTCTACAGCCTCAGTCCTGGATCTACAGCCTCAGTCCTGGATCTGCAGCCTCAGTCCTGGATCTACAGCCTCAGTCCTGGGTCTACAGCCTCAGTCCTGGGTCTACAGCCTCAGTCCTGGATCTACAGCCTCAGTCCTGGGTCTGCAGCCTCAGTCCTGGGTCTACAGCCTCAGTCCTGGATCTACAGCCTCAGTCCTGGGTCTGCAGCCTCAGTCCTGGGTCTACAGCCTCAGTCCTGGGTCTGCAGCCTCAGTCCTGGGTCTGCAGCCTCAGTCCTGGGTCTACAGCCTCAGTCCTGGGTCTACAGCCTCAGTCCTGGGTCTACAGCCTCAGTCCTGGGTCTACAGCCTCAGTCCTGGGTCTACAGCCTCAGTCCTGGGTCTGCAGCCTCAGTCCTGGGTCTGCAGCCTCAGTCCTGGGTCTACAGCCTCAGTCCTGGGTCTACAGCCTCAGTCCTGGGTCTACAGCCTCAGTCCTGGGTCTACAGCCTCAGTCCTGGGTCTACAGCCTCAGTCCTGGGTCTGCAGCCTCAGTCCTGGGTCTACAGCCTCAGTCCTGGTCCTTTAGTCTCAGTCCTGGTCCTTTAGTCTCAGTCCTGGGTCTACAGCCTCAGTCCTGGATCTACAGCCTCAGTCCTGGGTCTACAGCCTCAGTCCTGGGTCTACAGCCTCAGTCCTGGATCTACAGCCTCAGTCCTGGATCTACAGTCTCAGTCCTGGGTCTACAGCCTCAGTCCTGGGTCTACAGCCTCAGTCCTGGATCTACAGCCTGTCTGTCATTGTGAGTGGATCCCTCTCTCAATATTATCTTCCCAGAGGTTGTATTTTTTCCATTTTTTTCTTTTTTATTGTCATTTTTTGCAGATTCAGGAGGGTCTGAGGACAGTGTTGATCTGATCCATGTTATACACATTTATTAACATTTCTGGACATCGGTCATCCTGTTCCTATGTATTGTTACTGTTGCATTTCCTGTGTTCGGTTTCATTCTGTTGTCGGCAAATCCACAGCTTGATGAATTCCTCCGAGACGACTGCTGTTCTGACTTGAGGCAATACAATAATACATTGAATTATGGACAAAACAAACTTGTACACAATTACTGTTGTGTTTTATTGGGACATAGGGGATCCGCTCTGGCGTGTAAGAAACATACTAGCCTCTAACAAACTCACAGATGTAGTATTGTGTAGTGGTTGTATACAGTATTTTACTATTCTAAGCCATGGATCCTGTGCTTGCATTCGAGTCCTTAATAAAATCTAAATAAAATAGTTATTAGTCCATATTTTTCGCCGTCTTCCTCGGTCTGAAGCTGGAGACTTTCTGATCATTTCCATGCACTTCTTGCCTTGTTGCGTGACCGTATCTGTGCCTCTCGTTCCCCGACGGTGACCTCCGTGTCTGCCCTCTCCATGAAGAAGCACTGACCCACATTCATTCAGGGATTAGAGGACCAGCCAGGCCCCCCCCCACCCAGAGTCCACCACACCCCAGCAGTGACCCCCAGACCCCCTGCCCCAGAGACCAGAGCGCTGGGACAAAAGGCTGCTCAGACCTGGACCCTCCACAAATAAGAGTAAACAATGTGATCAGGGTTTACCCACGAAAACTGGAAAAACCACGACAAATTCAAGTTTTGTGATTTGATGGATTTTGGAGCTAAGTGAAATATCTATGAGTGCGTTTTTACTGCTTTTTGTCTCAATGAAAGTGGATAATTGGAGGAAATGGATGTGAAAAGTCACCTCAAATTGACACAATAGTAGTAGTAGGGCGACAGTAGCTCAGTTGGTAGAGCATTGGCCTTTGGGCCTGAAGGTCGTGGGTTCGAGCCCACCGCAAGACCTACTTCACGACTCCCACTGATGACTGCTGTCGTTGTGTCCTTGGGCAAGACACTTAACCCTACTTTGCCCAAAGCCCCAACTGAAAGATCTCAGCTCCTGTGGACTCACCACCTGCAGGAAGATCAGTGAGGGGCTGGTGCTCTGTGACTGGGTGCAGCTCTGACTGCCACCCCCCCGACCCAGAAATGGATTAAGGGGAAGAAAATGGATGGATGGATGGAGTTCTTCCTACAGGTTCCTCGTTCCTTAACTTCAGACGTTACAAAACAAAACTGCGATAACAATATTATTTTACATTTATCCAATTCTTCTTTTTCCGCTAAAAAAACCCGTCTCTGTAGAAACCTCACGTTGAGCAGACAAATGTTGAAGGGAAGCTGTCCTCTCAACGGGAGAGTGATCACCAGGAGGCAACCCCAAATGAAAATCAATGGTGGTATTATCTCAGCAGAGTCCGGTCTGGGTCCGGTCTGGGTCCGGTCTGGGTCCGGTCTGGGTCCGGTCTGGGTCCGGTCTGGGTCCGGTCTGGGTCCGGTCTGGGAACTCATTTCCTCCATTAGAACCTGATCCAGCTCCACAGAACACAGCCTCCCCTAGACCCACAGCCGTAGAGAGAGGAGGCCTGTCTCACATCTTCAGGAAGATTGTTCCAGATTTTAGCAGCATGAATCTGAAAAGCAGCCTCCCCATGTTTAGTCCTGACTCTGGGCACTAACAGGAGTCCAGTCCCTGTGCTCCTCAGAGTCCCAGCAGGAGTCCAGTCCCTGTGCTCCTCAGAGTCCGGGCTGGTTCATATGGGACTAACATGTCACTAATATATTTTGGTGCGAGGCCATGGAGAGACTTGTAACAAGCAGAGCTGTTTTAAAGTCTATTCTCTGAGCCACAGGAAGCCAGTGCAGAGACCTGAGGACTGGACTAATGTGGTCGTACTTCCTGGTTCTAGTCAGGACTAATGTGGTCGTACTTCCTGGTTCTAGTCAGGACTAATGTGGTCGTACTTCCTGGTTCTAGTCAGGACTAATGTGGTCGTACTTCCTGGTTCTAGTCAGGACTAATGTGGTCGTACTTCCTGGTTCTAGTCAGGACTCGAGCTGCTGCATTTTGAATGTACTGCAGCTGTTTTACAGCCTGTTTGGACAGACCTGTGAGCAGGCCATTGCAGTAGTCTAACCTACTGGAGACAAATGCATGGATAAGAATCTCCAGGTCTGCTTTAGACACTATGTTTTTGATCCTAGCAATGTTTTTTAGATGGTAAAAAGCTGCTGATGTTACTGATTTGATGTGGCTATTTAAATTTAAGTCTGAGTCCAGTATTACCCCTAGATTTCTGACCTTGTTTGAAGGTTTTAGGGAGAGAGACTGTAGGTGACAGATGACGCTCTCTCTTTGTTTCTGGGGACCAAAGACAATCATTTCAGTTTTTTCTGCGTTTAGCTGAAGGAAGTTGTTTTGCATCCACTCACTGATCTGTTGGATACAGTGAAGGAGTGAGTCCACTGGTCCATGTTCTCCTGCAGTCAGTGAGACATAGATCTGAGTGTCGTCTGCATAGTTGTGATAGGACACTTTGTTTCTGCGTATTAACTGACCTAACGGCAGCATGTAGAGATTGAAAAGAAGAGGTCCCAGGATCGACCCCTGTGGGACTCCACAGGTCAGGGCCATATGATCTGAGACACAGTTTCCAATCTCCACAAAGTACTTCCTGTCTTCAAGGTAAGACATAAACCAACTTAGGGCGGTGCCAGCGACGCCAACCCAGTCCTCTAATCTCTGTAAGAGGATCTCATGGTCGACAGTGTCAAAGGCAGCACTCAGATCTAACGAGATTAAGATTGAGACTTTGCCTGCGTCAGTGTTCAGCCGGATATCGTTTGTAACCTTGACGAGAGCAGTCTCAGTGCTGTGGTGGGGTCTAAAGCCGGACTGAAAAAATTTTAAAGACTGAGAAACAATCCCTTGGTCTATCCTTCAACCAAACCTCTACCTGTCTCTGTCCAGCCACATCATTTATAACAGGTGTCTCCAACCTTTTCACCCAGAGAGCTACTTTCCCGGGACAGAGAGCTACTTTCCTGGCACAGAGCTACTTTCCCGGCACAGAGAGCTACTTTCCCGGCACAGAGAGCTACTTTCCTGGCACAGAGAGCTACTTTCCCGGCACAGAGAGCTACTCCTGGCACAGAGAGCTACTTTCCCGGGACAGAGAGCTACTTTCCCGGGACAGAGAGCTGCTTTCCCGGGACAGAGAGTTACTTTCCCGGGACAGAGAGCTACTTTCCCGGCACAGAGCTACTTTCCCGGGACAGAGAGCTACTTTCCCGGCACAGAGAGCTACTTTCCCGGCACAGAGAGCTACTTTCCCGGCACAGAGAGCTACTTTCCCGGGACAGAGCTACTTTCGCGGCACAGAGAGCTACTTTTGCGGCACAGAGAGCTACTTTTGCGGCACAGAGAGCTACTTTCCCGGGACAGAGAGCTACTTTCCTGGTACAGAGAGAAACTTTCCTGGCACCGAGAGCTACTCTTTTATGCGGCACTGGAGCCTGATACTGGGCACAGTCATTATTTATCATAGCATATTTGTTACTAGTGACAAAGTAAGTACATTTACAATAATAAATAATGATAATGAACAATACAATCCGAAATATTAAGTCAATTATTTGATTTGTTAATATTCAAATCCTTTGGCGAGCTACCTGGAAGAGGGTGGCGAGCTACTGGATACCCCTGATTTACAACAACAGAAGGACATTGTGTTTGGGGAAGTACAAATGAAGACATAACTGAACTCGTGCGTAAACACAAAAGAGTCCTCGGGTGGTTCTGCTCCGGGTGGTTCTGCTCGGGTGGTTCTGCTCGGGTGGTTCTGCTCCGGGTGGTTCTGCTCGGGTGGTTCTGCTCCGGTAGTTCTGCTCCGGGTGTTTCTGCTCCGGGTGGTTCTGCTCGGGTGGTTCTGCTCCGGGTGGTTCTGCTCCGGGTGGTTCTGCTCCGGTGGTTCTGCTCCGGGTGGTTCTACTCCGGGTGTTTCTGCTCCGGGTGGTTCTGCTCCGGTGGTTCTGCTCCGGTGGTTCTGCTCCGGTTGGTTCTGCTCCGGTGGCGCCGCTGTCTGTCACTCCTGCGTTTACACTGTATCTGATGTATTGAGCGCGGCGTGACGGACAGGTAGAAGTGGCTTTGAAAGAGAGAGCTGGAGCTGAACGCTGCCGATGGAGGAGGAGCGAGGGAGCGGCCTCAAACTCAATTAGAGACGACTGTTTTGTGAATGGGATGGAGCCGCGGAGGACACAGACGTCTGATTTCTGGATGAGGTCAATGAGACTTAATGATTTTAGGATTTTTTTTTTCACTGACCAGTATTCAAATGTATTTAGTGAATTATATATTATCCCAATCCTAATTCAAAGCGGTTTACAATTGTGGAGCGTTGTCTCTGACTCCACACAGAGATGGGAGCGGGGCCAGTACAGGAGGCACAGACCTATTGTGCATGTTTTTAGTGGTAGGGGAAACCGAAGCACCTGGAGGGAACCTACACAGACATGGGGAGAACATGCAAACTCCACTCAGAAAGGCCCTGTTCCGACCGGGATTCGAACCTTCTTGCTGAAAAGCGAGAGAGCTATCCACGTGCCGCCCCGTTAGTAGTAGTAGTAGTAGTAGTAGTAGTAGTAGTAGTAGTAGTAGTAGTAGTAGTAGTAGTGGTAGTGGTAGTGGTAGTAGTAGTAGTAGTAGTAGTAGTAGTGGTAGTGGTAGTGGTAGTACTGGTAGTAGTAGTACTGGTAGTAGTAGTAGTAGTACTGGTAGTAGTAGTAGTAGTACTGGTAGTAGTACTGGTAGTAGTAGTAGTACTGGTAGTAGTAGTAGTAGTATGTCCCTAAAGGTCCTGGATCAACAGTTTTGGCTCTGACTCAGAACACACTATAATAATAACAACACAACTATTCACATATCCATCCAAACGCTACACACACAACACAAACACAACACTTTCTGCATATCTCACGCCTTCTTCCCGTTTAGCGCAGCCCTATTAGTCACACTCGTCCGTGACCTTTAAATCCGTGCCATAAAACGTTCTAAAGTGAAGTAAATTCCTGTTTGATGACTGTGTTTGAGATTCCACTGAAACGGCTTTGTGCACGTGACAAATGTGCACGTGACAAATGTGTGTGTGACAAATGTGCACGTGACAAATGTGTGTGTGATAAGATATTACCCATGAGTCACCGGGCCATGGACCGGGCTTTTGCTTTCCCAGCTGTGTGAGTGTGTGTTACAGAGTGTGTGTTTTAGTGTGTGTTTTTTAGTGTGTTACAGAGTGTGTGTTTTAGTGTGTGTGTGTGTGTGTTACAGAGTGTGTGTTTTAGTGTGTGTTTTTTAGTGTGTTACAGAGTGTGTGTTTTAGTGTGTGTGTTACAGAGTGTGTGTATGTGTGTGTGTTACAGAGTGTGTGTTTTAGTGTGTGTTTTTTAGTGTGTTACAGAGTGTGTGTTTTAGTGTGTGTGTGTGTTACAGATTGTGTGTGTGTGTGTGTGTGTTACAGAGTGTGTGTTTTAGTGTGTTACAGAGTGTGTGTTTTAGTGTGTGTGTGTGTGTGTTACAGAGTGTGTGTGTGTGTTACAGAGTGTGTCTTTTAGTGTGTGTGTGTGTTACAGAGTGTGTGTTACAGAGTGTTTGTTTTAGTGTGTGTGGGTGTGTGAGCTTCTTGCCTTTAGTCCAACAGCCCTAAACTTTAGTCGACTAATTTCAAAACATATTGTTTGCTTGAACATTACTAAAATAATCACTAGCTACAGCCGCTAGTTAGCGATTAGCGACATTTAAAAATAATAATATATTATTATTATTATTCTTTAGTATCATTCATCTTTATTAAGTCCAAAATGGAGCTAGTGGCAATAGCTGCAGGTGAAAGCCAGATCCTGTCAGACCTCTGAAGCTAAGCAGGGTTAGCATTGGTTAGTGCTGTGATGGGAGACCTCTGGGAACAGCAGGTGCCACAGTGGGGCGGCTGTGGCTGTAAAGTACCAAACTGTGGTTGTGTCTTTAGGCAAGACACTTCCCCCACATTAGAATGAGTCTGGTGTGTGTGTGAATGGTTGGTGGTGGTGGTGATTGTAGGGGATTTTGGCACAGACTGGTTGCCTCGCTTCTGTCAGTGTGTCCCGGGGCAGCTGCGTCTACAGTCCCAGTGTATCACCACCGTGTATGGAGTGAACAATGACATTTGAGGCGTCTATGAGTGTCCTGAAAAGCACTATATAAACTTATTATTATGAGTGACAGCCCTAGCAAGCCATTAGGACCTCTTCAAATATATGTATTTTGACAGTACTTAGTTGTCAATAACAAATATCAAATGTCTGTATTGGTTGAACGGACATGTGGGACAATCATGAGTTAGTTGTTAACCATTTTTCTTTCCCATTCATGTTCAAACTATTGTCTAACGTGGGAACAGGAAGTGGTGTTAGTCACTGGGAGCTAAAGATCCTCCTTTTATTGCTTGAGAACATCCTGAGTTTGGAATCAAAAAAGTTTCAGAACAAACACTGGGAAAACTGAGTCATTGGAACAGACTGTGACAACTATTCTAAACCAAGACTTTTTTTCTTTCTTTCTCCCACCAGTTTTCTTTGCTTTTAATGCTGTTTGCCATTACTTTTGGACCAAACCAGTGCGTCCACGTTCTCATAAAGGAAAATATGAACGTGTCAGAATTGTGTTATTGTCGACCGCAGAAGCTAATGTCGTCAGTGGAAGCTACATCTGTAAAAATGCTTCTTTCTGTTTTTTTTAAATGCTACAGCTATATTTATTCATACATATCCGTATCAGTGTTATTTCATAATTGATGAATAGGGCTGTATCTATTCCCTGTGACCCCACGGAGATGGATCTTTCCTGTTGTTGGGACCACTGTAACCACGGTAACCACTGTAACCACGGTAACCACTGTGTTCATCTGTGCCCTAAAACCCGGGTATTCAGCTCACATTTTATATCTGTGTATTTTGTCCTACATTGTATCTTTTTTTCTGCTAGATTCTCCTGAACAAAATGAGTTCAGTTACAGAACCAGCTCTTACAAACTCATGACACGTTTAATTGTATAGCACAGATCGTACACAAGGCAGTATCAAAGAGCTGAACAAAACGAGATGGAAACAATACAAGGCATTAACATCTTAAATAATCCCAGTACATCAGAAGTGAAGATTATGATCCTTCACTCTCTCTCTCTCTGCACGCCGGTCTGTTGTTTTCAGGAAGACTGTTCTATCTCTGCACGCCGGTCTGTTGTTTTCAGGAAGACTTCTATCTCTGCACGCCGGTCTGTTGTTTTCAGGAAGACTGTTCTCTCTCTGCACGCCGGTCTGTTGTTTTCAGGAAGACTGTTCTATCTCTGCACGCCGGTCTGTTGTTTTCAGGAAGACTGTTCTATCTCTGCACGCCGGTCTGTTGTTTTCAGGAAGACTGTTCTATCTCTGCACGCCGGTCTGTTGTTTTCAGGAAGACTGTTCTCTCTCTGCACGCCGGTCTGTTGTTTTCAGGAAGACTGTTCTCTCTCTGCACGCCGGTCTGTTGTTTTCAGGAAGACTGTTCTCTCTCTGCACGCCGGTCTGTTGTTTTCAGGAAGACTTCTATCTCTGCACGCCGGTCTGTTGTTTTCAGGAAGACTTCTATCTCTGCACGCCGGTCTGTTGTTTTCAGGAAGACTGTTCTCTCTCTGCACGCCGGTCTGTTGTTTTCAGGAAGACTTTTCTATCTCTGCACGCCGGTCTGTTGTTTTCAGGAAGACTGTTCTCTCTCTGCACGCCGGTCTGTTGTTTTCAGGAAGACTGTTCTCTCTCTGCACGCCGGTCTGTTGTTTTCAGGAAGACTGTTCTATCTCTGCACGCCGGTCTGTTGTTTTCAGAAAGACTGTTCTATCTCTGCACGCCGGTCTGTTGTTTTCAGGAAGACTGTTCTCTCTCTGCACGCCGGTCTGTTGTTTTCAGGAAGACTGTTCTCTCTCTGCACGCCGGTCTGTTGTTTTCAGGAAGACTGTTCTATCTCTGCACGCCGGTCTGTTGTTTTCAGGAAGACTGTTCTATCTCTGCACGCCGGTCTGTTGTTTTCAGGAAGACTGTTCTATCTCTGCACGCCGGTCTGTTGTTTTCAGGAAGACTGTTCTATCTCTGCACGCCGGTCTGTTGTTTTCAGGAAGACTGTTCTATCTCTGCACGCCGGTCTGTTGTTTTCAGGAAGACTGTTCTATCTCTGCACGCCGGTCTGTTGTTTTCAGGAAGACTGTTCTATCTCTGCACGCCGGTCTGTTGTTTTCAGGAAGACTGTTCTATCTCTGCACGCCGGTCTGTTGTTTTCAGGAAGACTGTTCTCTCTCTGCACGCCGGTCTGTTGTTTTCAGGAAGACTGTTCTATCTCTGCACGCCGGTCTGTTGTTTTCAGGAAGACTTCTATCTCTGCACGCCGGTCTGTTGTTTTCAGGAAGACTGTTCTATCTCTGCACGCCGGTCTGTTGTTTTCAGGAAGACTGTTCTAGATTTTAAGTCATTGTTGTGGATTCGGGGAAAAGTAGGTCGTCATGAAACGTATTGTGTTCGTGGACTTTAGTTCTAACTGTAATTTCATTCAGGGCTGTGGTCTGGGCCGATGGGGAGGAGGGGGGCGTATGGAGGCCAATTGCTTAAAAAAGCATTATGTCAGTAAAGAATCTGTGTGTGCGTGTGCGTACATATGTGTGTGTGTACGTGTGTGCGCGTAAATATGTGTGTACGTGTGTGTGTGTGTGTGTGTGTGTGTGTGTGTGAGAGAGCTTCAGGCACACTGGGCGTCCTGTTGAGGCAGCTCCGCGTGGGCTGATGGAGAGGCCACGACGCGCTCGCTTTATGGCCCAGACCCTCTCACTCTGTCGGGGTGTAAAAGTTAGGGGCGCCCTCAGGCTCCCCGGGGGGGGGGGGGTGATGGGGGTATTCATTGAAAGTTTGCCCCACTTCTGGAGACGCGGCTGGGGCTTGTTGACATCTTCACTTGTCTGGAGTTGGCTGCGTTGTATCTTTGGCGGCTTTCACTGCGGCTGTGGAGCTGTCCCTGTGTTCTTCTGTCAAACTGAATCTTTCAAACTATTTAGATTTTTGAATCTCAAAAGACTGAGTAAGCAATACAATTCAATTCAATTTATTCTTTTATAGCCATAAATAATAACAGCATCATCTCAGAGACTTAACAAAACCATTGAAAACACCAACACAGATCAGGTGAGACACAGAAATATACAGTAGAACACATGTTGATAAATGTCACACATGTTGATAAATGTCACACATGTTGATAAATGTCATACATGTTGTAGAATGTTAAACTGTCCTGGATCACCACAGTCCTTGTTAGACACTAACTGTAACAGACTGGGAGAAACTCGGTGAGAATTCAATTTTAATCCATCTTCCAGATTCAATCTTTGTTTATGAAGCCAAAAATCAGCTTCAGTTTATAGATTGGAGAAAAGTTCTGAAAACATTCTCTGATTTGCTTTAACTGGAACAAGTCTGTCTCACTTTGGTCAAAAATGTAAATCGATAGTAATGGAATAAATATTGTTCATTTTTTTTGTATGAACGGCCACAAACCCAGACAGGTGCTACGTGCTTGTGCCAGAAGTTCCTGATATTAGCATGGATAGATCTAAAAACAACACAAGGTCTGTTTGTTGATGATGGACAATGAAAGCCAATGTTTTATACACACTTCGAAGTTAAGCATGGCCTCTGTTCTCTGTGGTGATGAACTACTCTAGCCACAGCTGCCCTGGGGCATGCTAATGAGGCCACTTATATGTGCCATCGGCCCCTTCCACCACCAAACGTTCACACACACACACCAGACTCATTCAGTTTGGCACTTCACAGCCGCAGCCGCCCCACTGTAACCTCTGCTGTTCCCACATGTCTCCCATCACAGTACTAACCAGGCGCTGCTCTGCTTAGCTTCAGATAAGACAGACACTCCAGCGACTCTCAAACTAGTTCAGTCTTCCTCGTGTATTCTTTCCCGTCCAAACCAGCTCCGTTTCTCTCTGGTTATTAACATTTCCCATCGTCTGACTCCGCCCCTCATCCCCGCACGCCGCTCTGCCGGAGAAGATTGGTCACGCCTCATTACGGCGGGCTAATTTGTGTCATTTTCTTGGTGGAAGTTCGTGGAAGGGAAAGGAGCCAGAGGTGCCAGCACCAGGGCTTTGGCGCGGCTCCGGACCCTTCACGGATCGATGCCTTCGCCAAAACTCTGCTGCGACGGTGAGAAAGAGAGACATCTGGTACCACCGGCAATATCCCAGCATGCATCTGGTACCACCGGCAATATCCCAGCATGCATCTGGTACCACCGACGATATCCCAGCATGCATCTGGTACCACCGGCGATATCCCAGCATGCATCTGGTACCACCGGCAATATCCCAGCATGCATCTGGTACCACCGACGATATCCCAGCATGCATCTGGTACCACCGGCGATATCCCAGCATGCATCTGGTACCACCGGCGATATCCCAGCATGCATCTGGTACCACCGGCAATATCCCAGCATGCATCTGGTACCACCGGCGATATCCCAGCATGCATCTGGTACCACCGGCAATATCCCAGCATGCATCTGGTACCACCGACGATATCCCAGCATGCATCTGGTACCACCGGCGATATCCCAGCATGCATCTGGTACCACCGGCGATATCCCAGCATGCATCTGGTACCACCGGCAATATCCCAGCATGCATCTGGTACCACCGGCGATATCCCAGCATGCATCTGGTACCACCGGCGATATCCCAGCATGCATTTGGTACCACCGGCAATATCCCAGCATGCATCTGGTACCACCGGCAATATCCCAGCATGCATCTGGTACCACCGGCAATATCCCAGCATGCATCTGGTACCACCGGCAATATCCCAGCATGCATCTGGTACCACCGGCGATATCCCAGCATGCATCTGGTACCACCGGCAATATCCCAGCATGCATCTGGTACCACCGGCAATATCCCAGCATGCATCTGGTACCACCGGCAATATCCCAGCATGCATCTGGTACCACCGGCAATATCCCAGCATGCATCTGGTACCACCGGCGATATCCCAGCATGCATCTGGTACCACCGGCGATATCCCAGCATGCATCTGGTACCACCGGCAATATCCCAGCATGCATCTGGTACCACCGGCGATATCCCAGCATGCATCTGGTACCACCGGCGATATCCCAGCATGCATCTGGTACCACCGGCAATATCTCAGCATGCATCTCGTACCACCGGCAATATCCCAGCATGCATCTGGTACCACCGACGATATCCCAGCATGCATCTGGTACCACCGGCGATATCCCAGCATGCATCTGGTACCACCGGCGATATCCCAGCATGCATCTGGTACCACCGGCAATATCCCAGCATGCATCTGGTACCACCGGCGATATCCCAGCATGCATCTGGTACCACCGGCGATATCCCAGCATGCATTTGGTACCACCGGCAATATCCCAGCATGCATCTGGTACCACCGGCAATATCCCAGCATGCATCTGGTACCACCGGCAATATCCCAGCATGCATCTGGTACCACCGGCAATATCCCAGCATGCATCTGGTACCACCGGCGATATCCCAGCATGCATCTGGTACCACCGGCAATATCCCAGCATGCATCTGGTACCACCGGCAATATCCCAGCATGCATCTGGTACCACCGGCAATATCCCAGCATGCATCTGGTACCACCGGCAATATCCCAGCATGCATCTGGTACCACCGGCGATATCCCAGCATGCATCTGGTACCACCGGCGATATCCCAGCATGCATCTGGTACCACCGGCAATATCCCAGCATGCATCTGGTACCACCGGCGATATCCCAGCATGCATCTGGTACCACCGGCGATATCCCAGCATGCATCTGGTACCACCGGCAATATCTCAGCCATGCATCTCGTACCACCGGCAATATCCCAGCATGCATCTGGTACCACCGGCAATATCCCAGCATGCATCTGGTACCACCGGCGATATCCCAGCATGCATCTGGTACCACCGGCAATATCCCAGCATGCATCTGGTACCACCGGCGATATCCCAGCATGCATCTGGTACCACCGGCAATATCCCAGCATGCATCTGGTACCACCGGCAATATCCCAGCATGCATCTGGTACCACCGGAAATATCCCAGAATGCATCTGGTACCACCGGCGATATCCCAGCATGCATCTGGTACCACCGGCAATATCCCAGCATGCATCTGGTACCACCGGAAATATCCCAGCATGTATCTGGTACCACCGGCGATATCCCAGCATGCATCTGGTACCACCGGCAATATCCCAGCATGCATCTGGTACCACCGGCAATATCCCAGCATGCATCTGGTACCACCGGCAATATCCCAGCATGCTCGGCTAAAGCTACCGGGGCGGCTGTGAGAGAGGAGCAGAGATTGGAAGTAGTTATTGCCAAAAATCATTTTATTGTTAGTTTTGTTATGTTTAAATGGTGCAGATTTTCAAATATTAGGTTTTGGCTTTGTCTGTGTGTGTCTGTGTGTGTGTGTGTGTGTCTCTGTATGTGTCTGTGTGCATTTGTGTATGTGTCTGTCTGTGTGTGCTTCTGTGTATGTCTGTGTATGTGTCTGTACGTCTGTGTGTGCATTTGTGTTTGTCTGTGTGTGTCTGTGCGCCTGTATTTGCGTCTATGCGTGTGTCTGTGTGTGCGTCTGTGTGTCTGTCTGTATGTGTGTGTCTGCGCCTGTGTGTGTCTGTGTGCATCTGTGTATGTGTCTTTCTGTGTGTGTGTGTACGCCTGTATGTGTTTTCGTGTGGTCTGTGTGTGCGTCTGTGCATCTGTGTGTGTCAGTCTGTGTCCGTCTGTGTGTACGTCCGTGTGTGTCCGTCTGTGTTTATCCGTCTGTGTTTCTGTCTGTGTGTGTGCGTCTCTCTGTGTGTGTGCGTCTGTGTTTATCCGTCTGTGTTTCTGTCTGTGTGTATGCATCTCTCTGTGTGTGTGCATCTCTCTGTGTGTGTGCGTCTGTTTTTATCCGTCTGTGTTTCTGTCTGTGTGTGTGCGTCTCTCTGTGTGTGCGCGTCTCTCTGTGTGGGGAGGAAACAAGGAATCATTGAGTGGTTTATTGTGGTGTTTTTTGCGGTGCCGTTTGTTTGGTAAAGTGCCGGTCTTAGCGCGTATTCATGAGCTCCGAGGGGCCTCCTTTTCAGGCTAAGTGGTGGAATGCGTGCTTGATTTTTGGGGAGGCAAAGTCGGACCGGGAGCAGCTGCCGACGGAGACCCGGAGAGTTTTAAATGTACGCCCACCGCTCTTGTTTTCCCTCTTCATGCTCCTCCCGACACCTCTTCATCAACAGCTCGTCTGTTTTAGGGACACTCTCCTGTCACTGAGTCCACACGGAAAGAGCCAAACGGATAATTATGCAGCCGGGATGTGCAGGGGCATTCTGGGTAATGCCAGAGAATCTTGTTTGTTATGTTCAAGAGCATCCCAAAAATCTATGTTTATCTTTTCTTATTGAACGCTGTGTGTACTTCTGCTGGACATTTCACTGTACAGAAAGTAACGCTGATAATAATAATTTGGAAAAGAATTGGTTTTATAAAGACGCTTCACATGTCCTTATTCTTTCACTCCGAAACACTGTGGTGATAAACTACTATTGTAGCCACAGCTGCCCTGGGGCACACTGACAGAAGCGAGGCAACCAGTCTGTGCCATCGGCCCCTCCCACCACCACCAACCATTCACACACACACCAGACTCATTCTAATGTGGGGGAAGTGTCTTGCCTAAGGACACAACCACAGTCTGGCACTTTACAGCTGCAGCCGCCCCACTGTGGCACCTGCTGTTCCCAGAGGTTAAGTGTCTTGCCCAAGGACACAACGACAGCAGACATCAGTGGGAGTCGGTGGAGAAAGTCACCGTCGCCCCCAAACTTAATAAAACTTTAAACTTACCATCGTAGTTCCAACAGACAAAACCAAAATGGCCAAGATCCAAATGGCCCCCACTCTGGTGAGTTTGGGATCGAAAATCGGCGCAAAATGTGACACGGAACAAAAACTAATTCATAGTTTTACCTACAAACTTCCAGGCGCGAGTGGAAAAAACAGTTTTAATCATTCTCTCTGACCAAGAAATCTAATATTTTGCCTGTGTATGTAAACATATGCGTAGACTGTATGCAGGTGGACAATGCTAACACACTAGCATCCCAAAAAGTGCTGTATAAGACTGATGCATTATTATTATTACAAATTATTACAAAACAGACAACGAAAATACAGAGAAATAACACACCAATTATTATAATTATTATGGATTAAGGTTGTGTGTATGTCCTCACTGATTTGATCGGCAACCGCCTCATGCACGACTTATCTGAAAGAATCCCACCGCACTCCTCCCGTGTACGTCCCCGTCCTTCAGAACCCGAGCTTTATCACCTCCGTGCAGGATATTCGGCCACATTCACAGCTTTAGAGCCACTGCCGAGCCACGGGAGAGAAAATCCCCCGATGCCACAGATTCTTTAGGCTCTGTGGGAAAAGGCATTATTAGAGTGTGTGAAAGGACACGGTGGTGCGGTAGAGACGGGAATTAGATAGATAGATAGATAGATAGATAGATAGATAGATAGATAGATAGATAGATAGATAGATAGATAGATAGATAGATACAGTAGATAGATAGATAGATACAGTAGATAGATAGATAGATAGATACAGTAGATAGATAGATAGATAGATACAGTAGATAGATAGATAGATACAGTAGATAGATAGATAAATACAGTAGATAGATAGATAGATAGATACAGTAGATAGATAGATACAGTAGATAGATAGATACAGTAGATAGATAGATAGATAGATACAGTAGATAGATAGATAGATACAGTAGATAGATAGATAGATAGATACAGTAGATAGATAGATAGATACAGTAGATAGATAGATAGATAGATACAGTAGATAGATAGATACAGTAGATAGATAGATAGATACAGTAGATAGATAGATAGATACAGTAGATAGATAGATACAGTAGATAGATAGATATAGTAGATAGATAGATAGATACAGTAGATAGATACAGTAGATAGATAGATACAGTAGATAGATAGATATAGTAGATAGATAGATACAGTAGATAGATAGATATAGTAGATAGATAGATACAGTAGATAGATAGATATAGTAGATAGATAGATAGATAGATATAGTAGATAGATAGATAGATAGATACAGTAGATACAGTAGATAGATATAGATACAGTAGATAGATAGATAGATACAGTAGATAGATACAGTAGATAGATAGATAGATACAGTAGATAGATAGATACAGTAGATAGATAGATATAGTAGATAGATAGATAGATAGATACAGTAGATAGATACAGTAGATAGATAGATAGATAGAGACAGTAGATAGATAGATAGATACAGTAGATAGATAGATAGATACAGTAGATAGATAGATAGATAGATACTTTAATGATCCCGTCGGAGAAATTCAGGTGTCCAGTAGCAGCAAAAATAAAAAATAAAATAGATCATTCTAAAAAGCCAACAATAGTAATAATCAGCAATAGCCTCAGGTCACAGCAGCAGAGGTGGAGTAGCCTCTGGGTGGAGCAGGACAGGTCAAAAGGTGGAGGAGCCGCTTGGTTCAGATCATTTTCTCTGCTCTGGTCCAAAGTAAAATGCTAAATACTTCATTAGCATTTTTCTAAAAGTTAGCATTCCTCCAGTGGATTTTCACCTGATCAACTTGGTTCGGACCATGAATCCTCTGTGAAAATGGTACATATATTGCTTCTTTAAGTGAATTACTGACGATTGTTTAAGATATTTCTAGGTTCTATTCAAAGACACATAACTCATCTGTTGTTATGACAAACCTGAGCTGGGAAACTCATAGAAACCTTCCGTCTCCGTGGTTCGTCTCCGGCACAGGCTGAAGTTGTCGCTGTCATTCTCGTCCTCACAGCAGCGTAACAAACCTGACCTCACATTTAACCCTGGTCTCACCTCGGCGCCGCGGCTGCCACCCGCTCTGTGAAGGACGCCACACGCTGCAAAACACAGCGCTGTCATCTCACACTTTCTGGGGAAAATAAACACAGCTCCGCAAAAAAAAAAGCAGAGACGGCCATTTTGTGTTCAGGATTGTGATATTTTGCACACACAATGAGATGGATGGAGAAGAGCAAAATATACGTTTCATTTTTAATGTATGTGACTTAAAGGAGCAGTTTGTAAACATGTGGCCAAAAGTGGTACTGCAGCCTCTCCCACTCTCCCTGACTCAGGTTGCCAGATATGCAGACGAATCCAGCTGGGACCATAACAGCTGAATAGACAAGAGTTTAGTCAACAACAAATCTATAACCAACACCTTTTTCACAAAGATAGAAATCCTGGTTTTATTCCTTGTTTTGTCGTTAATGATTTGAGAATCATAACGAGACCTTTTTTAGTTCTGCGCCACATGGTACTTTACCAGTGAGATTAGCTCCACGCGGTGAGTTCTGGCGCCCGGATCACAGACTTTCTGATTGGTGAAACGGTGGAGGGCGGGACATGGAAATGAAAACAATAACAAGATTTAGGGGCTATCCGGACAATTGTATCTATATCTCTGTCCCTATATCTCTGTCTCTATCTCTCTATCTATCTATCTTTCTATCTCTCTATCTATCTATCTCTCTATCTATCTATCTCTCTATCTATCTAGTCAAATGACACTGGTCAAATCTCCATTATTGTATTGTCTTGGGTTAGTTTTGATTATTCAGATTAAACAAAAGGTTTCATAACATGTTTATCCGTGGTGTGCGATACAAACTCTGTGTATTCCTTCTACTTGTCCATGTTTTTCTTCTTGAACCGGAGCTGAGCCTGGTCTCATTCCTCCGTGACTGTAGTTTGACGGCTCGCGCTGCTGAAATCATTCAAAGCGCTGCGTCTGTGTGAATATTGAGGTTAAAGGTCCGGTCTCCCGAGGCCCAGACACAGATGTGCGCTGGTAAAGAAGCTTCTGTATTGGCCCCAGTGTGAAGTATCCAGTGACATTGCTCTCTATCTATAAACAGTGCTACTATACCCACAGGGCTCGAGTTTAGCGCCATATGGAACGCATGGGCCAATGACCACTGAAAATAGGTCCTGTTTATTGTCCTTGGAGGGAAACGGAGACTGCACAAAGGACTTCAACCTGTGTAGATTCACGACACTGGCTGAAAAATGCGATGAAATATTGGATTTGGTGTTTGGGAGGTTTGTAAAGCGGTTCGAGACGAGCTGCGTCTGAAATATACACGGAGAAGGTAACCCCTGGCTGCAGTTCTCCACAGTCGCCAACCCTTAGATTCCAGAGGACAGACTGCATTCCCAGGGCTAAAGTAACCTGCAAATGTGACACTGTCAATGTAAGGCTCTCAGAGGAAGGACCGCGGGTGGTTTTAACTCTGAAGAAATAAACAAAGACTTCGAGGACTTCATATTTAAAGAAGGAGAAATATCACTCATTTCTGTCTTTAGTTTCTGAAATAAAGAAGAATGTCCTTTATTCGTCCCACAATGGGGAGATTTCAGTTTGATGCACACACATATACATATACACATATACACATATACACACATACACATCAAGGCAAGCAGCGAACATCACTTCCGCGCTCCTTATTGGCAAAGTGGGTCAAGTGTCTTGCCCAAGGACATAACCAGACATCAGTGGAGTCGGTGGAGAAGGTCCCATGGTGGGCTCGAACCTACGACCTTTGGGTCCACAGACCAATGCTCTACCGACTGAGCCACTGTCGCTCAGTCTGTAGTTTTTCCGAGGGGTCTGTCGTCTGATTCAGAAAGTGGAAACATATCACTGGATTTCAGTGTGTGGAGCTCGAGAATAAAGTCCACACGAGCTTCCTCCGCAGAGATACAGGAGCTCAGTCACATGGGAGGAGCTCGGAGTAGAGCCGCTGCTTCTCCACGTCGAGAGGAACCAGTTGAGGTGGCTCGGGCATCTGTTCCGGATGCCTCCTGGACGCCTCTGTGGGGAGGTGTTCTGGGCACATCCCACCGGGAGGAGGCCCCGGGGAAGACCAAGGACACGCTGGAGGGACTATGTCTCTCAGCTGGCCTGGGAACGCCTTGGGGTCCCCCCGGACGAGCTGGAGGAAGTGTGTGTGGGGAGGGATTTATTTTTATATTTTTCAAGAAATCTTAACAAGTGAAAACGATAATTTAACTTGTAGTACATACAGTATGCTCTAATAATAACTATTTGTTCTTGGTTTGAGCCACTTTTGCTTGGAATTGTGTTTAAAAACCTGTGTACAGACTTTCCTCTCAGCAGCTGGCTGTAGTGGGTAGTCTCAGCACGGACCTCCCACCACGGCCAGAACCCACCACGGCCAGAACCCACCACGGCCAGAACCCACTACAGCCAGAACCCACTACAGCCAGAACCCACCACGGCCAGAACCCACCATGGCCAGAACCCACTGATGGCTTCAATGTGCTGCACCGTCCAACTCTTGTGCTGTTTGGAAATGAAAATAGTCTTAATCCAGGATCGTTCAGCGCCAGGAGACTTTGGAACTTTGAAAGAATAAAGTTTTCATCAGTAATTCAGCAGACACGACCTCTGCGTGCGCTTAGGTGAATAATTGGACCGGGTTTTGCACAATCCTGATTCTGGCAGGATTTTGATTACGCCAAATGTGAAGCTGTTCGGTTTGTTGATTGAGTTGAGTCAGAATTTGATTGTTTTGGACGTTCCGTGGCTGTTTTTGGTCTTTTTAAAACTGCTTCACGCTCAACACAACAAACAAAAATCAAACATTGTTAATTTTAGTTTAATTTAATGTCCTTGAAAGATAGAGATGGCTTCTGGTAATATTATTCCTAAGTTTTTTGGTGGTTAATCTCTATAACTGAGAGTAGTCTTGAGATTGAGTGTAGATTTCTGTTTTACGCCGGTGCAGTGAGAACATTTCCATCCATTTGAGTTTGAAGCGAGACAGAATGACAGAGTTACTGCCGCAGTAAAGTTTTTATAGTGCTTTCTGTACCCAGCATGCACAGGAAGAGACAGCTGTGGTTTGTGGTTTCTGTTGATACTGGAGATGCTAAAGTGGAGCTTATAAAAGGAGATAATTTTTAGTTTCATATTCATTTGAGGATCTGAAACTCTCTCATGTAACCTCCACAGAGAACGGACTGAAGATAGTTGTGCTTTAGTCATGCTTTTATACAGTACAGCAGGTGTAATGGCCTTTCTTATACGTATATATACATTTATTTTTATATTTACGACCACTGTACTGATTTAATTTCATACTAAGGTCTGGATTTGCTCCATTGACTCTGTTAACAGGTGGGAGATTGAAACCATTGGATCTGAGTTTACTGTGACGTATGTAATGAGCCCGAGTGAGTGAGGCATCTAGCATTTATCCTAGCTTTAGCATTTAGCATAGCTTTAGCATAGCTTTAGCCATCTCCTTTGCCGCTAACGGAGCCCGTGGGCGTTGACGTGTAAAACATTTGTTCTATTAAGAAACAAATTTTAACTCTTCATGTAAAAAATTCTCATTTCCCCTTAAGTTGAATATGAGCTGAACATGAATGAATGAATCTATATAGCCCTAAATCACAACACAATGGTTATCTCAGAGGACTTAAATTTACCGACAACAGATCAGAGAATCAATGATAAAAATGAGAGAGGAGAGAAACCACACAAATGCTCAAAAATGACTGTTTTTAATCTTATCACGAGGTCAAAAAGTCTGAAGGCTCATGGTGCTTTCAGACCGGATCATGCTGCGTCGGGTTTCAATGCAAAGTCTATGGTGGCGCGCGTTCGGCCGTTGCAACGCACGGACCTCTCGGCACGCACGGACTGTTCAGTAGAGACGCACGGACTGTTCAGTAGAGACGCACGGACTGTTCAGTAGAGACGCACGGACTGTTCAGTAGAGACGCACGGACTGTTCAGTAGAGACGCACGGACTGTTCAGTAGAGACGCACGGACTGTTCTGTAGAGACGCACGGACTGTTCAGTAGAGACGCACGGACTGTTCAGTAGAGACGCACGGACTGTTCAGTAGAGACGCACGGACTGTTCAGTAGAGACGCACGGACTGTTCAGTAGAGATGCACGGACTGTTCAGTAGAGACGCACGGACTGTTCAGTAGAGACGCACGGACTGTTCAGTAGAGACGCACGGACTGTTCAGTAGAGACGCACGGACTGTTCAGTAGAGACGCACGGACTGTTCAGTAGAGACGCACGGACTGTTCAGTAGAGACGCACGGACTGCTCAGTAGAGACGCACGGACTGTTCAGTAGAGACGCACGGACTGTTCAGTAGAGACGCACGGACTGTTCAGTAGAGACGCACGGACTGTTCAGTAGAGACGCACGGACTGTTCTGTAGAGACGCACGGACTGTTCAGTAGAGACGCACGGACTGTTCTGTAGAGACGCACGGACTGTTCTGTAGAGACGCACGGACTGTTCAGTCGAGACGCACGGACTGTTCAGTAGACACACACGGACTTGGCGGGAAAGTGAAAAAGGAGGAGCAGGAGCGAAAAATCGACGCCCACAGGAGATGGATTCTGCTCATCCTTTCCTTGGGACGTTCCTGCGACAACCAATCAGAGAGCAGCAAAGACATTAGCGGACTGAGCGAGCAGACTGAACATACTGTAAACAGCCAAAACAGGACCCACACCAGACTTCACCAGAACTCAAACCAGGGCTGACAATGGGGGACTCTGTGCTTGTGAAAATATGCGTTGTCATGCTCCCGTGACCTTATGCAACTGCAACTGTTTAATAATTTAAAAAAAACGTATGGCGCACCTCCGTGAACACATACTGCTGTTATATAAAGCCCGTGGAATGTCTGTGAGCAAAGATACGCTGCAAAGCTGCATATTGGAGAAGATCTGTACACAAGAAGCCGCTAGCATAGCTCTGTTAGCATCAGAGCCGGTCGGCTACTTCCGGTACTTCCGACTCGTGTCAGGACGTTCTGGTGTGAAGACCTCTGTGTCTGAAAACTAGAGAATGCGCGTCTGGTGAGCGGGGCTTCAGCGTTTCAGCGTTGGCGGTCTGAAAGCCCCATCAGACTTCATGGGTTTGATGCTCTCTCGCTGACTGAGCGTGTGGACCCTCGTCTACCAAGGTTACTACGGTAACTGGAGTAAGCAGCGTTACTGGCAGAGTGGTTAGCCCCTCTGAAACCACAGCCTGGGCTTCCTCCCGCTGCCCACAGACTGTATAGAGACTTTTAAAGAGGCCGCCTGTCAGAGCCGTTCACAGCAGCCCACACCCATCACCAATATGAGGGGAAATGTCTTCAAAAGTTCCCCCAAAAGTTTCTTCCTGTGGCCCACTTCCGAACTGACTCACGGTGAGGAGAACTTTATCGTCTCCATAGGTAATTGCGTCCTCTTCCTTTAACCCACGCAGAAATGGCGCTAGGGCAGAGCTAACCCAAACTCATTAATGTCTGAGTGTTACTATAAAATGTGTCTTCGTGAAAATATGTGGGCCTTCCTGGGGTCTCTCCGTTTCTACCACTGGAATTTTTTAGTTGTTCCTCTCTGATGTAGGAGGATGTATGGACAGTGGTGATGATCTGGGACATTTATGGACATTGGTCTCTGCCCCTTATGGACCAATGGCTCTGTTTTACATCAGTACAGTACCGATAACTTTGTAAAGTCCTCTGAGTATGACAACTGGCTATACAAAAACACATTGAATTAAAACACACACTCACACTGAGGCTCAAACACTCTCTGACCCTACACCTCTCCACTACTCTCTCTCCTCCTCCTCGTTCTTCAGTGTTTCTTTTAAACCGTTTTTGTTTTCTAGTTTAGGAGGATCCATGTGGTCTTCTGAGTAGACTTAGACTTTATTGATCCACAGGGAAATGGTTTTGTCACAGCACCTTGCATACAGTAGGATTCCACAATAAAAATGATAATAAATCTGAAAATAAGAATAATAATAAGATAATATTGTGGGAATAGTTTAGTCTGGATATAGGTGCTCAGAAAAATACACATCTGTGATTCTGTGTTTTTATTTACAGTATAACATACAGAGATGAGGTTATGGGTTTTTTTAATTAGATTTTAGATTAGGTTAGATTTCAGCTTTAAAAACCAACATATCTTTTTACAGAGCATATCTTTAAACAGAGCCTATCTTTAAACAGAGCCTATCTTTAAACTGAGGAGTCTGAAATGCTGCAGCAGGAGATGCACAGATCCATGTCCTCTTCGGGCTCGGTCTCCAGGCTCGGACTCTGGGCTCGGCCTCTGGGCTCGGCCTCTGGACTCGGTCTCCGGGCTCGGCCTCTGGGCTCGGCCTCTGGGCTCGGCCTCTGGGCTCGGCCTCTGGGCTCTGTCTCTGGGTTCGGTCTCTGGGTTTGGTCTCTGGGCTCGGTCTCTGGACTCGGTCTCCGGGCTCGGCTTCCGGGCTCTGTTTTTAGTGGTGGGGAAAGGATCTACAGAGGAAAACCTACTCAGCGAGGCACGGGGAGAACATGCAACGTCCTCTCAGAAAGGCTGTGTTCCGACCAAATCTAAGTTGCATTTTTTTTCCAACATCACGCAGCTCTGCTCGATATGTTAAAGGGCCAAAATCCAAAAGATCATGTACATTATTTGTATTTTATTTGAGTCAGACAGGCATAGCTCTGTCTGAACCCTGAAGACGGAAGTGTTTTAATGAGCGTAAGTTAAACCGACCGTCACAAAGAGAGAATAACGTTTTCTAAATCCCCTTCACGTGTGTCTTTACCGAGCAGGGCTGATCTTCTAAAGCTGTTTATGATGCAGAATCTCCTTTGTTATTATTAATTATGGCTGAAAGCGAAGCCCTTTTCATCAACAGCGCTGTCAAACATCAGCCTGGTTGTTTATCATCTGCGACTCTAAAGTAAACAGCAGAAATGCCAAGAACAGCTGGAGACGAGCAGCCTTTCATTACAGCCCAAAACAATGGCTTTGAATCCTCCGTCTGGAAACGCACACAAACCCTAATGTACCACAATTACCTCCTCTCTCTCCGCCACGAAGGTGCGCAACAAATCACGTCTGTGGGAGAAAGTGAAGAGAGCTGTATGTGAAATGTGAAACCAAAATTACAATACTGGGAACGAAAAGTTGGATAGTTTTCGGATTTAGAGAAAGAATGTGTGGGATTTTCATGTCAAGTCATCATTAAAGGGCCCTAATCTATCCTCATTAAAGGGCCCTAATCTGTCATCATTAAAGGGCCCTAATCTGTCATCATTAAAGGGCCCTAATCTGTCCTCATTAAAGGGCCCTAATCTGTCATCATTAAAGGGCCCTCATCTGTCCTCATTAAAGGGCCCTAATCTGTCCTCATTAAAGGGCCCTAATCTGTCGTCATTAAAGGGCCCTAATCTGTCGTCATTAAAGGGCCCTAATCTGTCCTCATTAAAGGGCCCTAATCTGTCATCATTAAAGGGCCCTAATCTGTCATCATTAAAGGGCCCTAATCTGTCATCATTAAAGGGCCCTAATCTGTCATCATTAAAGGGCCCTAATCTGTCCTCATTAAAGGGCCCTAATCTGTCCTCATTAAAGGGCCCTAATCTGTCATCATTAAAGGGCCCTAATCTGTGATCATTAAAGGGCCCTAATCTGTCATCATTAAAGGGCCCTAATCTGTCATAATAATAAACAATCTGTCATCATTAAAGGGCCCTAATCTGTCATAATAATAAACAATCTGTCATCATTAAAGGGCCCTAATTTGTCATAATAATAAACGTGCTCTTTTCCAAAACTTCTTTAACTGATAACAGTCGTTCAGAGATATTTGAATTTCTAAATTACTTTTCCAGCCTCTAAATCTTGTTATCGTTTTCATTTCGATGTCCCGCCCTCCACCGTTTCACCAATCAGAAAGTCTGTGATCCGGGCGCCAGAACTCACCGCGTGGAGCTAATCTCACTGGTAAAGTACCATGTGGCACAGAACTAAAAAAGGTCTCGTTATGATTCTCAAATCATTAACGACAAAACAAGGAATAAAACCGGGATTTCTATCTTTGTGAAAAAGGTGTTGGTTATAGATTTGTTGTTGACAAAACTCTTGTCTATTCAGCTGTTATGGTCCCAGCTGGATTCGTCTGCATATCTGGCAACCTGAGTCAGGGAGAGTGGGAGAGGCTGCAGTACCACTTTTGGACACATTTTTACACACTGTTTATGACTCATTTCTGACTTTGATCCAGGATGTGGGTCAAGACTAGATGCAGTTGTTTGATGGTAGAAAGTCTGGAGAATATTCATAATCTCTTCTTCTGTAATTTATTCTTATCAAAAAAGCTAAAGACACAAAGGTTTGTTGAAGAATTTTTCCCTAATTTTAGGAAAGAACCGGTCTCTCTGGTCTTATTGGACGAGCAAGAATCACCAGAATGATTGACCATTAGTCTTGATGATTCACCCGGAAGTAGAGAATCCTCCAATATACCTTTAATAATCTGACATGTTTTGGTGAGAAGCTGTTAGAGAACTACAGTTATCAGTTAAAGACGTATTGGAAAAGAGCAGGTTTATTAATGACTTTGGACAGATAAGGGCCCTTTAATGATGACATAAAAAACGTACATATTGCTACTTTAAATATAAAAAAAAAGTCTTATTTAAGATTTGATGCCATGTATTTTGCATTTAGAGTCCAGGAAACGGTTATAATTTTGCACTTATGAATTAGTCTGAATAAAATAGTCCCTGTGAAGCTGCAGCTGCAAAACCCCCCACCTCTCCCACCTCCAGCTGGGACCCTCTTGCTGTGAGGTGACAGTGCAGCCCCACAGCGCCCCCGGAGGCCGTGGCAGCAGTGCGCAGAGAGTGGCTTCAGCTGCAGACCTTCCTGTGGGTCTGTGGTCTGTGGGCGCAGCTCGACTGAAGCTGCTGTATTGAGGCTAACCGCAATTTTATGCAACACCGGAGTTTGTGTTTTCAGTTCATTAGCGACGGCGATGGAAGCAGAAGAGAAAAACTAACAATGTGAAGTGGATTAGATGCTCCGGTCAGCATTTTAGTTAGTACGCATGCTACACCGGCTTCAGCGCTGTTAAGGAGGGAATTTTAAAGCTGGGGTACCTGACTTTTTTGTCTTTTGTGTATGGCTTGCTCCAATCTTAACGTCAAGCGGCCAAATAATACATGTGTCAACCATTGTAGTTTATAGATACACAGAAGATAATCTCAGATGGGCTCAAAAACCTCTCAAGAAAAATGGATGCCTTTCCAAAGTGGCTCTTGGTCCAAAAGTGGCTCTTGGTCCAAAAGTGGTTCTTGGTCCAAAAGAGGCTCTTGGTCCAAAAGTGGTTCTTGGTCCAAAAATGGCTCTTGGTCCAAAAGTGGTTCTTGGTCCAAAAGTGGCTCTTGGTCCAAAAGTGGCTCTTGGTCCAAAAGTGGCTCTTGGTCCAAAAGTGGCTCTTGGTCCAAAAGTGGCTCTTGGTCCAAAAGTGGCTCTTGGTCCAAAAGAGGCTCTTGGTCCAAAAGTGGCTCTTGATCCAAAAGTGGCTCTTGGTCCAAATGTGGCTCTTGGTCCAAAAGTGGCTCTTGGTCCAAAAGTGGCTCTTGGTCCAAAAGTGGCTCTTGGTCCAAAAGTAGCTCTTGGTCCAAAAGTGGCTCTTGGTCCAAAAGTGGTTCTTGGTCCAAAAGTGGCTCTTGGTCCAAAAGTGGCTCTTGGTCCAAAAGTGGCTCTTGGTCCAAAATGGATGTTGAGGGGAGTATATATCATTTTGGACCAGTCTAGTTTAGCCGCTGTGGACTTTTGAATGCACTCGTTAAATGAATGGGCACAAATGTGTTTTTCCACATTTTCCAGCTCCGCAGCCATTTTGAAGGCAAAAGTGATGTCACATTAGTTTCAACGGCGGTGACAGTCGTGACTGTCTGTGAATATTTACAGTCCATGGGCTGTACACTGCAAAAAACGGATAAAACATGAGCTAAAAACTGCTTGAAGCGAATGTTTTTTAATCTTAATTTGACTGTTGCTTTTATATCTCATTCCTAGGCAGACTTTGGCAAATATTGTTTTAAGCCAGTCAGAATGTGCTCAAATTAAGATAAATTTTTCCAAATGTTTGCCATTTTAGTCTCATCTTTCATCCCTTTTTGCAGTGTAATAGTCAAAAGTACAAACACCAGTCTGAAAATCCTTCTGATGATATACTTTTTGCTTCCTATGTAAACAAATATGAGGTTGTGACAGCGCTGCGATAAAAGGCTGAGTGTGTGGACTCGGCCGGGGCTGGATTATGTAACGGTGAAAGGGCTGAGGGCCGTGGAGGAGCGTCCGGTGTCCTGCGAGCGGCGAGGTCCTGCGAGCGGCGAGGTCCTGCGAGCGGCGAGGTCCTGCGAGCGGCGAGGTCCTGCGAGCGGCGAGGTCCTGCGAGCGGCGAGGTCCTGCGAGCGGCGAGGTCCTGCGAGCGGCCAGGTCCTGCGAGCGGCCAGGTCCTGCGAGCGGCCAGGTCCTGCGAGCGGCGAGGTCCTGCGAGCGGCGAGGTCCTGCGAGCGGCGAGGTCCTGCGAGCGGCGAGGTCCTGCGAGCGGCGAGGTCCTGCGAGCGGCGAGGTCCTGCGAGCGGCGAGGTCCTGCGAGCGGCGAGGTCCTGCGAGCGGCCAGGTCCTGCGAGCGGCCAGGTCCTGCGAGCGGCCAGGTCCTGCGAGCGGCGAGGTCCTGCGAGCGGCCAGGTCCTGCGAGCGGCGAGGTCCTGCGAGCGGCGAGGTCCTGCGAGCGGCCAGGTCCTGCGAGCGGCGAGGTCCTGCGAGCGGCGAGGTCCTGCGAGCGGCCAGGTCCTGCGAGCGGCGAGGTCCTGCGAGCGGCCAGGTCCTGCGAGCGGCGAGGTCCTGCGAGCGGCGAGGTCCTGCGAGCGGCGAGGTCCTGCGAGCGGCGGGCTGCTTCACCGCGGGGTTCATGGTTTCTGCTCCGCTTTAGAGCCGACCCGTTCTTGTTCTGATCTCACTAACTCCACATCCCCAAACGACATGTCGGAGTGCGCCGGGTTTAGAAAGAAGTAGAAGGTGTGAAAACGGGTTTTTTTTTTTTTAAAGTAGTCCTCGACAATCCATGACCGGTGTCGGGAAGAATTTAAGTATAATGTAAGTTTTAATGTTTTTAATGACTTGTGTGATTCTATTTTCTGTTTTTTAAATATTTTTTGTGATCTTAATGTTTGTTTTAATTGACTTTTTAATCATATTTTTTATCATCCCCACCGCTGTCAGACATACAATCACAAACATATACATACAATAAAATACATATACATACAATCATAAACGTATAATAACACACAAATGCCTTTCTTCTGCTCTCATTCCTTGCATTCCGAGGCCAGGACATGGGTTTGAATCCTCGGTCGGTCTTGTGTTGTTTTGGAGCGCGTTCAGGCCACATTGTGATGGACGGCTTGAGTTCGCCGCATGTTGCCGTGGGTTACAGATGGACTGACCGCGGGACCAGTGCATAAACAACAGCGTGTGTGTCCCGGACCACGGAGAGCAGTGTGTGTGTGCGTCTGTGTGTGTGTGTGTGGTCAGCCGAAAACACACTGGCAGAATGCTAACTTTTTGACAAATGCTAACAAAGTATTTAGCATTTTACTTTGGAGCAGAGCAGAGAAAATAGTCTGAACCAAGCTCCTCCTGCTGCTGTGACCTGAACGACTGTTTTATTATTACTATTGTTAAATTTTTAGAATGATAATTTTATTTGTTTTGTTTGTTTGGATGGATGTGTTTTTGCTGCTACTGGACACCTGCATTTCTCCTACAGGGATCACTAAAGTATTCATACACAAGGCAACTCAAAGTGCTGAACGAAATAAGAAAGCATTAAAATCATAAATAATCACAGAACATTAAAAAGAAAGATAAAAATATAAAATCCGTCAGTTGTAGCACAGCTAAACAGAACTGTCTTTAACCTGGTTTTAAACATTGTCAGAGAGGAGGCCTGTCTCACATCTTCAGGAAGACTGTTCCAGATTTTAGCAGCATTAATCTGAAAAGCAGCCTCCCCATGTTTAGTTCTGACTCTGGGCACTAACAGGAGTCCAGTCCCTGTGCTCCTCAGAGTCCCAGCAGGAGGCCAGTCCCTGTGCTCCTCAGAGTCCCAGCAGGAGTCCAGTCCCTGTGCTCCTCAGAGTCCCAGCAGGAGTCCAGTCCCTGTGCTCCTCAGAGTCCCAGCAGGAGTCCAGTCCCTGTGCTCCTCAGAGTCCCAGCAGGAGGCCAGTCCCTGTGCTCCTCAGAGTCCGGGCTGGTTTATATGGGACTAACATGTCACTAATATATTTTGGTGCGAGGCCATGGAGAGACTTGTAACAAGCAGAGCTGTTTTAAAGTCTATTCTCTGAGCCACAGGAAGCCAGTGCAGAGACCTGAGGACTGGACTAATGTGGTCGTACTTCCTGGTTCTAGTCAGGACTAATTTGGTCGTACTTCCTGGTTCTAGTCTGGACTAATGTGATCAAACTTCCTGGTTCCAGTCAGGACTAATGTCTCGTCAGTAAAAACACATATTAGCCTCATCGTTACATAAGCCGCATGTTTCAAAGAACCAGAAATACGTCGCGGCTAATTTGATCCTGGATGAACTTGCGGCAGACCCGATAACTGCATAAATGTTTTTTGTGGGTCTCGGCTGCAGCGTGACTCGGTCGTCTCTGGTTGTAAAGGCTGTTGTCTGCTCGAGTCCCATCTGTGTGAGCGATCGGGCAAACTGCAGACGCCTGAAGGAGAAAGTGCTGAGACCATAAAACATCTGCATCTCCTCACGTCAGGCTCTTTCCCCGTCGACACTTTTGCTTTTTCTGTGTTTTTATGATTCCGACAACACGGCCACTGACAGATGAGTGTGTGGAACATAACATTGTTCTGGAAATTCACAAATCCTTTTGGTGAAAAGACAAATATGAGTTACTGCTGCTCTAGCTGTGTTTTTGTAATATTTTTTTTTACATTCTGTTTATTGGGTTTTCACAAATAATAATAATTAAAAAAACAAGTTCCCATTTTTAACAGACTATTAAAGATGATGCCCATGTCCTGGTAAATGTGTTTGTATTTCAGTCTCTAGTCTTTGGTAAACTGTGGAAAACTGTTGTTAGGAAATAATGTCAGCCCTACTTTGACTTTTATGGGTTGAAAATTGTCTGTTATTCTTCAGATTGAGTTTATTTGCCATTTGCAGTAAAACCCCATTGGAAAACATGTGCAAAAATAGTTAATAGTAATAAAAACATTTGAAATATTTGTCACGGTGAAATCCATTTTGCACTCGATGAATTATTTTGATTCAATTCATCAATAACTAATAATGTTTTTCTCTTTCTTTCTGGTTTCGTCGGCCGGTTTCTCCATCTGTGCCCGTTCATCCAGGTAAGAGAGACTTCTATGTTGTATTTGCTGGTTTTTAAATAGAATCATTCTGTGGACGTGCTTTTCATTCGTGATTCAGTGCATTTTTTTTATGAATGAAGGAATATTTTCAAACCTGATCAGACAAACATCTGCTTTGATCTTTCCTCTCTCTTGGATTAAAAAATACTGCAAAAAACCATGAAGCGCAAATAATGATTTTGAATGAGGGAAACGACGGGAGGTGTAGTTGTTGACACCCACACACAGTGTACACGTATACACACATACTGTACATGTATACACACATACTGTACATGTATACACACATACTGTACATGTATACTGTACACACATACTGTACATGTATACACACACATACTGTACACGTACACACACATACTGTACATGTATACACACATACTGTACATGTATACACACACATACTGTACACGTACACACACATACTGTACATGTATACACACATACTGTACATGTACACACACATACTGTACATGTATACACACATACTGTACATGTATACTGTACACACATACTGTACATGTATACACACACATACTGTACACGTACACACACATACTGTACATGTATACACACATACTGTACATGTACACACACATACTGTACATGCATACACACATACTGTACATGCATACACACATACTGTACATGTATACAATCACATACTCAACACGTATACACACACATACTCAACACGTATACACACACATACTGTACATGTTTACACACACATACTGCTCACGTATACACCAGAGGTGGGACAAAGTCATTGTTTAGCAAGTCACAAGTCAGTCTCAATTCATTGCCCTCAAGTCCCGAGTCAAGTCACGAGTCAAGACAGGCAAGTCCCGAGTCGAGTCCAAGTCAAAGGCCAACAAATCTCAAGTCAGTCCCAAGTCCTACGGTTTGACTTTCGAGTCCTCTCGAGTCTTTTTGACCGCGATTTGTTTCTTGTTGGTCTCCACGTACTTAGGAATCGTTTTGCTGGTGCATTCTCGTTGGTCTCTGACCCATGGACTAACAGTTTGTTCCATGTGGTTGGCTGCTGGTAAATCAAAACTATGTTGTGCCAGATGCAGGCTCAGTTACACATGCACAGACCACACATAAAATCAGAGCAGTCCGTGTCAACATACTTTTTATCTTTGGGGTTTTTAATGGGAAGTAGCAAGTGCAGCATATATGAATATGAGTATTGGGCTAGGACCTGTATCTATATAATCAGTTTAATGTCCATAGTGGTTATTGTTCCAAAGGACTGAAGGGACCAATGGAGGGGAAGGAACCTGGCCTGTATGAACTGGGCCAGCATTAGTAATATCTCATAATTACCAATATATCATTACATAATAAAATGTCTCATATAAATTAATTCAATCAGTCAAAGTACTGATTCTCATATCAATGAACCATAAACAATAGTGGAAATATTAATCTAGCTTAGTGCACATAATCAAAACAACTATCTAATGTATGCAAACTTTAGCAGGAGGAGCACAGCAAAAACATACTCATAATAATAGGCCTCGGCGCCCACACAGAAAAATATAAGAAAGAGCCAACAGAGCAGCGCAGGCTAGCGCTAGTTTGAACTCACCAGTTCCTCTTTAAAACACGGCACACAGTGTGACAACTGCGTCGATTCAATTGTATGAGGCGCCTGTAGTGAAAGCATATCAATTACGGTTTGTAGAACAAAATATGACGTTAGGTCGCGATAAATACCTGCAGCTCGCTCATTTCCAGCTCCCCTAGACAACACACCCACCGGTGAATGCAGTGCGCTTGTTTAGGGAAGTGTTGCTGCGCGAACTGCGGGGAACTCACGTTCGAACTCTCGCGCGAGCGCTACAACTACCGCGAGGCTTTGTTTCTTCAGAGACGGCATAGATAGAAAGAGAGATGCGGTGAAAGGTAAAAATGGCCCGGGTTACGCAAGTCTTTGCAAGTCAATTGGCGCAAGTCCAAGTGAAAGTCAGAGTCATTGATGTTAAAGTCCAAGTCGAGTTGCAAATCTTTTTATATTTGGTCAAGTCGAGTCTAAAGTCATCAAAATCATGACTCGAGTCTGACTCGAGTCCAAGTCACATGACTCGAGTCCACACCTCTGGTATACACACACATACTGCACACGTACAGTACATAACCATTAGCAATATTTACCTGTTTCACCCAGTGGGGGCAGGTCCCGGCTCAAAAATGTCCAAAATAACGTGTGCTGACATGCTTGCAATACCACCCTGGGCCAGTGGGGGTGGACCCAGAATAAGAATTAGCCAGTGCTAATGTATAGCATCTTCTTACCTCTTGAAAACGGCTTTACATGATGGTCCAAAAGTGGCTCTTGGTCCAAAGCTTTGTTCCAGATGGTGTTGATGTTGAGGGGAGTATATGTTTTTTGGACCAGTCTAGTTAAGCCGCTGTGGACTTTTGAATGAACTCGTTAAATAAATAGGGCTAGTGCAGCTAACACATGCACAAATGCATTATTTCACATTTACCAGCACCTGTGGCCATTTTGAAACTGCCCATAGACGACGAAAGTGGTGGCACATTAGTTTGAACGGTGGCGATGAGCGTGACGACATCTGTTTACATTTACAGTCTATTATTTCACACGTTTCCACCGTTTACAAATACATTTACAACTTTATTCACTTTGCTTTAACTTGAAGCAGAGCGAGAAAGAGACAAAATCTTGCAAATGTCACCTTCATAATTTGCACCCGTCTTCAAGGTCTTTCTCAAATGTGAGGCCTTGCGTAAGCTTCAGGTCGACGTCACATTTAGGAGGACACAGGACCAAACCCACCCGCTCCCTCATCACCCCCAGAATAACGAGCAGTGTGCATTTCATTCGATTCATAATGTGACCAAAAAAAAAGTCTGGGGTTGTCTTCCCTATCTGGTCATACCATGTGTAAACTCTGGTCCATGGTCATCTCCTACATGTACGTCTGGTCTTACCATGTGTAAACTCTGGTCCATGGTCATCTCCTACATGTACGTCTGCTCTTACCATGTGTAAACTCTGGTCCATGGTCATCTCCTACATGTACGTCTGGTCTTACCATGTGTAAACTCTGGTCCATGGTCATTTCCTACATGTACGTCTGGTCTTACCATGTGTAAACTCTGGTCCATGATCATTTCCTACATGTACGTCTGGGTCTGATCCTAGTGGCTGCAGTTTCCTCGGTTGAATCCCCTCCGACCAATCAGAGAGCGGGGGAGGCGGGTGTTGTAGGTTTGTGCTGAATTTGCTGGTTGTAGTTTGTCGGAGAATGCGATAGTAAAATAATCTGTTCTGGTTCAATCCAAATATCAAGAAACTGAAGTCGGAGCAAGAGGAATGTTTAGTAAATGTCATTGAAGCAAAGATGATGTGGCTCTACTCCCCACGGGCTCCGTTAGTGGCAAAGGAGATGGCTAAAGCTAGGCTACATGCTAAAGCTAGGCTAAATGCCTTACTCTCTCGGGCTCATTACATACGTCACAGTAAACTCAGATCAGTTTGTTTCAATCTGCAAAAGGAGTTAGCCCCTCCCACCTGTTAACGGAGTCAATGGAGTAAACCCAGACCTTAGTACAAATGAAATGAGTACCATGGTGTGGTCAGACCAGGCTAGTCCTTATCCCTGCATCAGTGCTGTTCTGAGCGCGGGGGTTTCAGATGAAGTGTTTGCGGTCTCCAGGGGAAGTTTGAGGTGTGGACTTTGGCCCCAGATTGTTTAGCGTTTGAAAGGATGTGAGCAGAAAGGAAGAGGAGGAGGGAGGAAGAGGAGGAGGGAGGAAGAGGAGGAGGAAGAGGAGGAGGGTGCAAAGATGTTGTGTTCAAGGGAAACATATTACTTCACGATCGGTCCTAGTGTTTGAGAGAGAGGAGGGAGAATGGGGAATCTGGTCTTGTGTGATTTGAGCAGAACAATAAGTGGGACTGCTCCAAATCTACTGAAACAAGACACTTACCCTTTAATAGTCTCAACCATTTGGTAAATCACTTTTTGAGTCGAGCTTGGAACTGAAATCTACCTCTTTGGGGCTTCTCACTTGGTTTTAGGCATTTTACCATCAAACTGCGTCTCCACAAATTGGTAAAGGCCTGTATTTTGAGAAAAATAGGGGTTAAAAACAACACTTTTTGTTATTATTGTTGTTATTAGCGTCCTATCTTAGACAATCTGGTGGAAAAGCTTTCTATCTCTCGTGGAAAAACTAGTGGTACCAGAAGCAGTCCAGGACCAGAACCAGTTGAAACCAGCCCAGTCCTTGACGCGTCCAGAACAAGCTTCTTGAAAATAGGGCTTTCAGTGTCAAAGAAAGAAAGAAAGTGACCAAAGGCTGTAAATGAACGGAGCTAAAGAAAGAACTCTAATCACACTTCTGTCAAAAAGCCATCAAATTGACTGCTCTGGTTGTTCTAGTGTTAAGAAAATCAACATTGTCATTGTCTGGTTCCGACAATTTGTGGCTCAGACGAACGGCGACAAGCGTGGGCTGCATATTGACGTTAACCACTGAAAATGAGGGAGATCTCCGGTCGTTTACGGCAGTGTATCCCAAGCTTTTTGTAGCCGTGGCACACCTTTTTGGTTGAAAACACTCACATGGCACACCACCGGCTGAAACTGATACAAACATGAAACTTTGCAGCTTTTAGTATGAAAGCAAAGTCATTCTAATCAAGGTAGATATATATAGAAAATTAAATGAGCTCAAAAAGTCTTTCTAATCTTCTCTCATAATTTTCTTTTCACATTATTTTGACCAATTATGTGATATTGGAATATTTCCCAAGGCACACCAAACAACATCTCAAGGCACACTAATGTCCCACGGCACACTGGTTGAAAAACACTGGTTTACGGGACAGAAATCAAACTTTTCATGCAGCGTTAAATCATAGTTCATTTTTATTTTTATTTTTTTATAGAGCATTTTACAAATTATTCAGATTCTCACATGATTCCTCTGGTCCCGGGAGCTCGTGTGTCTTTGCCAAAGTAAAAACATCTTTCAGACCTGGGCTTCGATTCCAACTCTGTGCCGTGACGATGCTGGTATCGAATGAGCAAACCCCAGTGTTCCTCCATTGTCTCTGCAAAAGAAGCACACACACACACACACACACACACACACACACACACACAAACGCACAAACACACAGATACATTACACACATGACCCTTCACCGGCTACACATCACACTGAGAGACAGATCGGAAAAAACCACAGAGAGCGGTATCATTTCTACAGACCCGATCCCCTTTCTTGCCCCGATAGATAGATAGATAGATCTCGCTTCTCAGCAAGAAGGTCCTGGGTTCGAATCCCGGTCAGAACAGGGCCTTTCTGAGTGGAGTTTGCTTGTTCTCCCCGTGTCTGTGTTGGTTGTGTCTGTTTCCCGTACCACTAAAAACATGCACAATAGGTCTGTGCCTCCTGTACTGGCCCCTCCCATCTCTGTGTGGAGTGACAGACAAATGCCCACATCTGTAAACCGCTTTGACTCTGGTTTGTGAAAGGCGCTATATAAATAAACATTACTTACTTATTTACTATTAAAGGGTAACACTTGCTGTTTATTTCACATACATTTTGCACAATCTTGAGTGTTTCTATCCATGCCAAATGTGACATGTAAATTTCTCCTTTGTGAGATCAATACAGCATATCTTATCTTCTCTTAAATACTTGGGTAACCTACGTAGAAACAGGGAGAACATGCAAACTCCACTCAGAGCGGCCGTGTTCCGACCATACAGGGATCTCTTTGGTGGTATTTGCAACAGAAACCTCTTCCTAAAGGGCCTCAAACTGGACGTGGTTGTAATGAAACTCTCTGTGGAGGGGTCACTGCGAAAGACACTCAGGGACCGACCTCACCTGGACCCGCGGCCAAGACCTCACCTGGACCCGCCGCCAAGACCTCACCTGGACCCGCGGCCAAGACCTCACCTGGACCCGCGGCCAAGACCTCACCTGGACCCGCGGCCAAGACCTCACCTGGACCCGCGCCCAAGACCTCACCTGGACCCGCCGCCAAGACCTCACCTGGACCCGCGGCCAAGACCTCACCTGGACCCGCGGCCAAGACCTCACCTGGACCCGCGGCCAAGACCTCACCTGGACCCGCGGCCAAGACCTCACTGGACCCGCGGCCAAGACCTCACTGGACCCACAGCCCAGACCTCACCTGGACCCACAGCCAAGACCTCACTGGACCCACAGCCAAGACCTCACTGGACCCACAGCCAAGACCTCACTGGACCCACAGCCAAGACCTCACTGGACCCCACGGCCAAGACCTCACTGGACCCACAGCCAAGACCTCACTGGACCCACAGCCAAGACCTCACCTGGACCCCACGGCCAAGACCTCACTGGACCCACAGCCAAGACCTCACTAGACCCACAGCCAAGACCTCACTGGACCCACAGCTAAGACCTTCACGTGTGCATTTAGTATTTACTGTAAAAGCCGTCGGACTGCGGAATATGTGGGTCAGCGTTTGTTATGATCCCCGCGGGAGGAAGTGACTGCGCTCTCCCTGTTCCAACGCTTATGAGATTTATCAAAGGCGCGACTCGGGTTTCCAGTATACGCCAAGAAAAAAAAAAAACAGGAATCGAAATGGAGTCGCGTTGAAAGAGCGAAAACATTGAACTCATTGAACTCATTGAAAGCTCCGTCTCCATCGGTGTCAAAGCCAGATGGATTCTTCTCCTCCTCGACCAGTGCCCTTTTCGCCAGAATAGTGAAAGGGTTATTAAATGGGTTCCAGCTTCTGTCTCAAATTGAAAAGTGGACAAAAATACGTGCTGTTGGGGGTTTTTTGGGGTTTTTTCTCGCACCTTTTCATCCGAGAAAAATACCTCTTTGTGTCTTTTGTGTTGTGGAAGTCTGATCAAATGGATGTAGAGATAATTCTGAATAGTGCTTAGTGATTCACGGTTGAAAAGGTGATCCTGATAGACTTGGAAATGGAAAATTGGCCCAAATTACAAAAGATGACTGTATCGGGATTACTATTTTGTGGAGGCAGACAGCTAATCTCAACAATAGAGCCCAGCATGAGAAAAACTGTCAAATTCATGCTAAGTGTATTTCAAATCTCACTTTTATTCAGCATCCCGGTCGTAACAGAGTGTTTCTGTGTGGAGTTTGCATGTTCTCCCCGTGTCTGCGTAGGTTCCCTCCAGGTGCTCCGGTTTCCTCCAGGTGTTCCTCTCGTCTCCTGTACTGACGACCCGCTCCCATCTTTGTGTTCAAAGATGAATGAATAATGTTTTAAGCACAGACTGTAGACGAAAAGTGGAATGACCAAATATGGACTTCCCCGTATTCTGATTTTTTGGCAATGTCATTATTCTGAACCTTTGCTGTTTGTAATTTTGTAGAGGGACAATAATAATAATAATAATAACGATAATAATCAAACTTGTATACAGTAGCGCTTTTTTGGACACTCGCTTCACTTAAGGATCTCAGCTTGTGTTTTGTGTTGCGTTAAATAAATAGGAAAAGTGGCGACTTAAAAATCTATTTGCGGAAATGTGTCTTTGAAAAACGTCCACAAAGCTTCAGACGGTAAACAATGTAGAAGAAGTCAATTTGAACAGAAGCTGGAGCCTGTTAGCTTAGCGCCATAACAGACGGACCTGTTGCTAGGCTGGTTGCTAAGGGAAACTGGAGTCTTCCCCTCTGAATAAAGGCATCCGATTGGTCAGATTTAAAACGACAATATCGACACTTTTACACCACGGATTCTGAAGTCCAAAATGGTGATTGTGACAGAAACGGTTACTGAGCTAAAGCCGTTTACGTCCCAGTGCGAGTCGATCAAAGCCGGAGTGAGTAGGTGCAGAGCTAAGGGTTAGTAAGTCCAGCGCTCTAAGATGCTGGAAACTGCACTTTAGCAAAACGTCTGCACCTGTTACGGCACAAGGACATTGGCTCCAACTCGCTTTAGCTCCTGTCTGCTTCCAGAGCGTTGGGCAAACACCATGGGGGCCTCAGCACTCAGTCAGTCCACTCCTGGTACACAGTCTATGGAGGCACCGCTGGTATCGAATATGGTTCTGGGCTAATCTGCATTTTGTATTATGCTAATGTAAGATTTTACATTAGATTTGATGTAGTATTGAAATGAAATTGATTGAGATATTTTTTTTATTTTGAGTTCAATACATACTGTATCTTCAATTTACAAAATATATTTATTGAAATAACTAAGTATCAGTGAGAAGTAAAACATACTTTCACCAGTGTAGGCTTTATCTCGTAGTCATCAGTTGTTTTTTATTGACAAATTGACAAACGTACTTCACCTTTACCTCTGCTGGAATATATTAAAAAAGATTCCTTTATAATAAAATACATCGCTCTCTCTCATCCTCTCTCTCTCATCCTCTCTCTCTCATCCTCACTCTCTCTCTCTCTCACACTCTCTCTCTCTCACACCCTCTCTCTCTCTCTCTCTCAATGTCTCTCTCTCTCTGTCTCTCTCTCTCTCATCATCTCTCTCACACCCTCTCTCTCTCTCTCATCCTCTCTCTCTCATCCTCACTCTCTCTCTCTCTCACACTCTCTCTCTCTCACACCCTCTCTCTCTCTCATCCTCTCTCTCACACCCTCTCTCTCTCTCTCTCAATGTCTCTCTCTCTCTGTCTCTCTCTCTCTCATCATCTCTCTCACACCCTCTCTCTCTCTCTCTCTCTCTCACTGTCTCTCTCTCTCTGTCTCTCTCTCTCTCTCTCATCCTCTCTCTCACTGTCTCTCTCTCTCTCTCTCTCACAACCCTCTCTCTCTCTCTCTCTCTCTCTCTCTCTCTCACTGTCTCCTCTCTCTCTCTCTCATCACCTCTCTCTCCTCTCTCTCTCTCTCTCTCTCTCTCTCTCTCTCTCTCTCTCCCGGTCACTCATCCTGTCTCTCTCTCCCTCCTCCTCTCCCATCCTTCCCTCTCTCTCTCTCTCTCTCTCTCTCCTCTCTCTCTCTCTCTCTCTCTCTCTCTCTCTCACCTTCCCCTCTCTCCTCTGTCCTCCTCTCCTCTACTCCCCCTCTCTCTCTCTCTCTCTCACACTCCTCTCTCCTTCCTCCTCCCGCCTTCCTCCTCCTCTCTCCCCTCTCCCTCCGCTCATTCCGCCTCTCCCATCCCCTTCGGTCTCCTCGCCTCTCCCCTCCCTTCTCTCCCTCTTCCTCACTCTCCTTACTCTCGCTCTCTCTCCTCTCTCTCCTCTCTCCTCCCTCCCTCCCTCCGTCTCTCCTCACTCTCTCTCTCTCCCTCGTCTCTCTCCCCCTCTCTCACCCCTGTCCCCTCTCTTCCTCTCCCCTCTCCCTCTCACTCCACTCTCCTCTCCCTCTGCCTCTCTCCCGTCTCCCTCCTCTGCTCCCCCTCTCCTCCCCTCCCTCTCCTCTCCCCTCTTCCTCTCCCCCCCTCCCCCTCTCCCCATCTCTCTCTCCCCTCTCCTCCCTCCTCCTCTCTCTCTCCCTCTCCTCCTCTTCTCCTCCTCCTCTCCTCCTCTCCCTCCTCTCGTCCTCCACGCAAACAAAACCACACCCTCCTCTTCTCCGAACTCTCCTCCCCCCCTCTCTCATCTGTAGTCTCTCTCTCTCCATCCTCTCTCCACGCTACCCCTCTCCCTCCCATCTCCCTCACTCTCTCCTCTCAATCCTCATCTCCCCCCCTCCTCTCCTCTCTCTCTCTCCCTCAACAACTACCTCACACGTCCCTCTCTCAAAATCATCATCCTCTCCTCCTCCTTCTCTCTCTCGGTCTCTTCTCTCTCCTCCTCTCCTCCTCTCGGTCGTCACACACGAAGAAGAACTCCCTCACTCACCTCTTCTCATCCTCCCCTCCTCCTCCTCTCGTCTCTCTCTCTCTCTCCTCTCTCCTCTCACTGTCTCTCCACTCGACTCTCTCTCGTCACACCCTCAATCCTCACCCCTCTCCTCTCTCTCTCTCCTCTCTCTCATCTCCTCCTCACACCCGCTTCTCCTCTCTCTCATCCTCATCTCTCTCATCCTCACTCTCTCTCTCTCTCAACACTCTCTCTCTCTCACACCCTCTCTCTCTCTCTCTCTCTCACACCCTCTCTCTCTCTCTCTCAATGTCTCTCTCTCTCTGTCTCTCTCTCTCTCATCATCTCTCTCACACCCTCTCTCTCTCTCTCTCTCTCTCACTGTCTCTCTCTCTCTGTCTCTCTCTCTCTCTCTCATCCTCTCTCTCACTGTCTCTCTCTCTCTCTCTCTCACACCCTCTCTCTCTCTCTCTCTCTCTCTCTCTCTCACTGTCTCTCTCTCTCTCTCTCTCACACCCTCTCTCTCTCTCTCTCTCCTCTCTCTCTCTCACTGTCTCTCTCTCTCTCTCTCTCACACCCTCTCTCTCTCTCTCTCTCTCTCTCTCTCTCTCACTGTCTCTCCTCTCTCTCTTCTCTCACACCCTCTCTCTCTCATACTCTCTCTCATCTCTAACTATTATACTTTTTACAAAATTCCACTATAAAAGCAAAAAACTCTGTACTCCTGATGCCCTTCCTGAAGCAGTTTGTCTATAATGCTGGGGTTGCTTCTGTAGTACAGCTGTAAAAAACGTAAAACATAAGAAACTGAGCCAAAAAAAAAAAAAAACATCAATTATTTATATAATACATATATTTATATACATCATATACACATAATGTAATTTTACTGTATTTATTATGGTCTTTATCAATAATGCGCACTCTTCAGCCGGTTATTGCAATCGCAGCTGTAGTTTCAACTGTGGGACAACAAGTACAGACAGAGGAGTGAGAGATCTCACTCTCTGACGATCTTTGGCAGTCCCCGTGTGTTTGTATCTCACAGCTGTTTGTATCTCACGGGTCACGCTTTGGACACGGACTTTCAGACAAACGTAGTTTATCCTATGTGCATCGCACAGACAAATCAAAACTAGTTTCGGAAAGCCCTGAATACGTACTTCACAGAGGAAAGTAAGTTGCTACGTTTTACCGTTCGCGAGTAAATCATTTGATCAGTTGTAAAACATGTGCATATAGGGTTAATCGTAAAAATAATCGATAGATTAATCGATTACAAAATAATCGTTAGTTGCAGCTCTAGTAACTAGTTATGAACCACAAACACATCTTTCCACTGATTTCCATAATCCTAATCCTAACCCTAACCCTAAATAATCTCTTCATCTGTAATCTTAGTCTAAAGCCTTGGTGAAGCCAGTATCAGTGGTTGCCTTAACAGTAAAACGGTGAAAAAACACAATTGGACTCATTTTGAAACAGCTTTCTTTGTGTTTCTTTCCTGGTATCGCTTCATTTCAGATTTTAGAAGATTTTTAAAACTGGTATAAGATTTGAAAATGAGCTAAAAACCTGTTTGTGAGTTGAAAGGTGGGCTCATTGAAAACCCGGCCCAGATGACTTCTGTGGAAAACCGGCCTCGACGCTGGCGTTTTGTTCCCTCCTCCGCAGATGTACTCTCTGTGGTTGGAACATCCTTGGATCTAACCTCAGAGCACGACTGAAGCGGCTCCTATTTCTGCGGCTTTTGTCCATTTAAAGCTCTATTTCAAAAATCAATGTGTGAGATGTTATTAGGTCCACTGATCTGGCTCCAGTGTGTTATCTATACAGTGTCGGCACATCTGAAAAAAACCTCACATTTTCATATATCTGTTGTGCCTTAGCAACAGCCCGTCCTTTTCGCTGAGTATCACCACTTTTAATAAAAAAAGGCTTCCTCGATGTTTAAGCCGGAGGGAAATATCCGCGGTGTGTTTTTAATCTTGCTGCTTCCCCCTCCGCCGCCTGACAGCCCCAAATAGAGTAAGACAAAAGTGCAGAGTCGTATCCAGGGGTGAGGAGACTCTCTCTGGGTATAAACGCAAACACATCTGGACATAAATATCAGCAATTTTATACGTTCCCGACGACGACGCAAGGTCTGGGACAGTTTTAACCCGACTCTGTCTGCGTTAGCTCACAGAACACGCTGCGCAGTCTGGATCCCATTATCTTATTTTGCTCTGCAGGTTTCTCGGCTTTAGAGGAACAACATTTTTACTTGCATCTATCCGCTGTAGCATCAGGTCGGGAGATTGTAGATCAAAGCGACGGATGGCGGGAAAAACTGGAGAACCACAAAAAAGCATGTAATGTAATCCATGTCTCTGTCTCTAAACTGTTTGGTTCTGTCACTAGTTTTCACAAAGGTTTTCAGCCACATGTTGAGATGAAAAAGAGCGGTCCTGCCAACTCTCGGCCAATCAGGTCTCAGTACATAGATCACATGTCAATCAAGACGCCCGCGGCTGACCAACAAAAGGGCTTACGCTTTGTGTGAACAACCATGTGTGTTCAAACTCCTTTTCATTTCCATGTCCCGCCCTCCACCGTTTCACCAATCAGAAAGTCTGTGATCCGGGCGCCAGAACTCACTGCGTGGAGCTAATCTCACTGGTAAAGTACCATGTGGCGCAGAACTAAAAAAGGTCTCGTTATGATTCTCAAATTGCTAACGACAAAACAAGGAATAAAACCAGGATTTCTATCTTTGTGAAAAAGGTGTTGGTTATAGATTTGTTGTTGACAAAACTCTTGTCTATTCAGCTGTTATGGTCCCAGATGGATTCGTCTGCATATCTGGCAACCTGAGTCAGGGAGAGTGGGAGAGGCTGCAGTACCACTTTTGGTCAGATTTTTACAAACTGCTCCTTTAATTCTGACACTCAATCTGAAATGTTTCTTTTCATAGCAACCATTTTTTGTTATTAGTTTTACTTTCTATGTTTTAAAATGTGTGCAGATGTGTATGATGTCTGTGTAAAGCACTTTAGGTTGCACTGCATGATTGGCTATTTATGAAACCAAGGTTAGCTTCTCCGGCCTTTTCCGTCCTCGCTGCACAGACGCACAGACGCATCAAGAGTCTCCTCTGGTCCGTTTCTTTGCTCACATCAATGACGTCTTGTAAAACCAAATTACTTCCTGTTTCTGTCCAGGTACTAACAATAGAAGCTACACTCATCCATTGACCGAGTGAACCTCCCGCCCCAACGATAAGAACTGATTCAATCTGGCGCCCACCTTTGCCCCTCCCCCCTCCCTCTGCCCCTCCCCCTCCCTCTGCCGCTCTCCTCTCCATCAGCCTCTCTCTCTCTCCCCCGCTCTCCTCTCCATCAGCCTCTCTCTCTCTCTCCCCCGCTCTCCTCTCCATCAGAATCTCTCTCTCTCTCCCCGCTCTCCTCTCCATCAGCCTCTCTCTCTCTCTCCCACCACTCCGCTCTCTCCTCTCCATCAGAATCTCTCTCTCTCTCCCCCGCTCTCCTCTCCATCAGAATCTCTCTCTCTCTCCTCCCCCCGCTCTCCTCTCCATCAGCCTCTCTCTCTCTCTCCCGCTCTCCTCTCCTCTCATCAGAATCTCTCTCTCTCTCCCCCGCTCTCCTCTCCATCAGCCTCTCTCTCTCTCCCCCCTCTCCTCTCCATCACCCTCTCTCTCTCTCTCCCCCGCTCTCCTCTCCATCAGAATCTCTCTCTCTCTCCCCCGCTCTCCTCTCCATCAGAATCTCTCTCTCTCTCCCCCGCTCTCCTCTCCATCAGCCTCTCTCTCTCTCTCCCCGCTCTCCTCTCCATCACCCTCTCCTCTCTCTCTCCCCCCGCTCTCCTCTCCATCAGCCTCTCTCTCTCTCTCTCCCCCGCTCTCCTCTCCATCAGCCTCTCTCTCTCTCTCCCCCGCTCTCCTCTCCATCAGAATCTCTCTCTCTCTCTCCCCGCTCTCCTCTCCATCAGAATCTCTCTCTCTCTCCCCGCTCTCTCCTCTCCATCAGCTCTCTCTCTCTCTCCCCCTCTCCTCTCCATCACCCTCTCTCTCTCTCTCCCCCGCTCTCCTCTCCATCAGCCTCTCTCTCTCTCTCTCCCCCGCTCTCCTCTCCATCAGAATCTCTCTCTCTCTCCCCCCGCTCTCCTCTCCATCAGCCTCTCTCTCTCTCTCCCCCGCTCTCCTCTCCATCACCCTCTCTCTCTCTCTCTCCCGCTCTCCTCTCCATCAGCCTCTCTCTCTCTCTCTCCCCCGCTCTCCTCTCCATCAGCCTCTCTCTCTCTCTCCCCCGCTCTCCTCTCCATCAGAATCTCTCTCTCTCTCCCCCGCTCTCCTCTCCATCAGCCTCTCTCTCTCTCCCTCGCTCTCCTCTCCATCAGCCTCTCTCTCTCTCTCCCCCGCTCTCCTCTCCATCAGAATCTCTCTCTCTCTCCCCCGCTCTCCTCTCCATCAGCCTCTCTCTCTCTCCCCCCGCTCTCCTCTCCATCAGCCTCTCTCTCTCTCCCCCGCTCTCCTCTCCATCAGCCTCTCTCTCTCTCTCTCCCCCGCTCTCCTCTCCATCAGAATCTCTCTCTCTCTCCCCCGCTCTCCTCTCCATCAGCCTCACTTTTCTTATCCAATTACTGCGTCCCGAGTTAGAGGGGGGGTAACTCTCTCTCTCTCACCCTCTCTCATCCTCTCTGTCAAACCCTCTCTCTCTCATCCTCTCTCTCTCACCCTCTCTCTCTCACCTTCTCTCTCTCACCCTCTCTCTCTCACCTTCTCTCTCTCTCATCCTTTCTCTCTATCATCCTCTCTCTCTCTCACCCTCTCTCTCTGAATCTCTCTCTCTCTCTCCATCTCGCATCCTCTCTCTCACCCTCTCTCTGTCTCTCTCTCCATCTCTCATCCTCTCTCTCTCTCAACCTCTTTCTCTCTCTCTCCCCTCTCTCTCCCCCCCTCTCTCTCTCTCTCCATCTCTCATCCTCTGTCTCTTCCCTTCTCTTTCTCACTGATTCAATCTGGCGCCCACCTATGCCCCCCCCCCCCCCCCCCCTCTCTTCCCCCGCTCTTCTCTCCATCAGCCTCGCTTCTCTTATCCAATTACTGCGTCCCGAGTTAGAGGCGGCGTAACTCTCTTCCTCTTCCCCTCACCCTCTCTCTCTTACCCTCTCTCCCCCACCCTTGTCCCGAGTTAGCGGCGGCGTAACCATCTCCGCTGGTCCATTCACAAACTGCTGAGCCACAGAGTTCACTCGTTTGCCCCTGTGCCAGGTCTGGGAGCTGGCAGAGCGAGTGTTGGACGCGTCGGGTCCGTGATGCAGGCGTCTTAGCTCAGCAGCAGCTCGTGTTGTACTTCCCATTTGAGCTGCAGTGTTTTTGACAGGCGTTTTTCGCTTGATTGCCTGCGTGCAATTAGTCATGTTGATGGTGGAGCCGTGTTATTGGATTGGATTGCAAAATGAACACAAGCAGACATCAGGCCGTAAGCCGTGACGACTTACGGCCTGATGTCTGCTTGTGTTCATTTTCTGTAGATGTAAAGTTATTCTCTCTGTACGGATATTTTGTCTTCTGCGTTTGACCCGTCGTGATGCCGCTAAGGCTTCCGTCAGGGGCAGTGGTCGCCGTAGTAACAGCGCCTGGGAGCCCATCTCTAGCACTGCAAAAAGTGGTGAAACATTAGTCAAAAATCGTTCAAGTTTGGCGAAAACGTATCTTAACTTGAGCACATTTGGACTGCCTTAAAACAAGATTTACCAATGGGACAGGCAAAAGGATCTAAAATGATAAAAAAAGATACAAAAAATGTCTCCTGCCAAAGTTCTTGAAATAATTGGCAAATCTGGTTTTAACACAGTCAGATTAAAAACCACTTGATTCAAGCCGTTATTACCTCATATTTTATCATTTTTTGCAGTGAGATGTTGATGCTCGGCTTGGTCAGGACCAGAGCTGGGGGATTTGACCTAGTGTGCATCTGTTTTGTGGTGGGGCAAAACCAGAGCACCTGGAGGAAACCTACGCAGACAAAGAACATGACCACTCCACACAGAAAGACCCTGTTCCGCCCGGGATTCAAACCCAGAACCTTTTTGCTGAGTAGCGGGTGTGCTAACCACTCAGCCACTGGGCAAAATTCAATAAAACGACGGTATATCAGTCCAGTCCAGCCCAATTTATGTATAAAGCACTGATAAAAACAACAAGGTCGACCAAAGTGCAGTACATAGAAAGACATACACAATTAGAAAATACAGAGCAGTGGCAAAAAACACACTATTTACAGCAAAAAAATCCATTCGAAATCAATTAAAAACCAATGAGAAAAAGTTATGTTGTTAGACGAGCCTTAAAAACAGGAAGTGGATCAGAAAGACGAACACACACCGGGAAAGCTCGATCTCCTCTAAAGTATCTGTTTGGTCGGAGGAACCCAGAGCACAGCTTGATCCATATATGAACCGATGCGTGGTACATGTCAGGAGTGATGCCGCGGCGTTGAGGAGGTGGGTTGCTGCACAAGTGGAACTGTTTAAATCCAGTGGAGAAAAGCAGACGCATGGTTGGAAGAGAAGAAGTGGGAGATATTTCAGTCTTTTAGTCTGAACCGTTGCTTTTCTCCATAACTACTTTCACACACTTTTTACGATATTACTTTGACCCGGGGTCTCTAAACCAATTTATATCGGGTCTAGTCTTTTTATCGTAAGACTCGGGACTTTTCTTGGGACTGACAACACAACTCTTTGACTGGATTCAGGCTGTTCTGGGTTATTTATTTTCTTTTACATAATTTTCAATGCTTTTTGATTTTTGTTTTTAAATTGCTGTTGTGAAGCACTCTGAAATGCCTTATATACAAACTATACAAACAATTGACTGATTAGCAAAGAGCAGCAGTAGCTCGAGACGTCGCTGCGATTAAACCATTTACACAGCAGTATTTTTATCACAATTTTAATTTTATTTTCCCAATGAGACACACACGAGCAGTTTATTTGCAATCTACTTCAAGTTTGCGTCTCTTCGCATCAGAAATCTACCTCTTGATCTTTGGCCCGCGCTGTTTCCTGACAGCTCTTAGCTCACCGATCGCTATCTCTCCATTTGGCTAAAACCTCCCAATCTGTTAAAATCTTGACGTAATCGAACCCAAAACCTCTTAAACTGCAGCGTCTCTAAATGATGTATTCGCTCATAAACCGGTCCCAGAGCGCCCCCTGCCTCTCATCAGTGACACCGGCTCTGACAATATAAACATAACAGACCTCATCAAAGACAATTACGGTTTTGTCATCTTGTAAAGTATTTCTGACAAATGCTCTCTCTCTCTCTCATCCTCTCTCTCATCCTCTCTCTCTCATCCTCTCTCTCATCCTCTCTCTGATCCTCTCTCTCTCATCCTCTCTCTCATCCTCTCTCTCATCCTCTCTCTCTCATCCTCTCTCTCTCATCCTCTCTCTGATTCAATCCCACGCCCACCTTTGCCCCTCCCTCCGCTGCTCTCCTCTCCATCAGCCTCGCTTCTCTTATCCAATTAATGCGAGTTAGAGGGGGCATAACTCTCTCTCTCTCTCTCTGCCTCTCTCTCTCTCACCCTCTCTTCCTCTCTCATCCTCTATCGCTCTCTCTGTCCCTCTCTCTCTCTCACCCTCTCTTTCTCTCTCATCCTCTCTCTCTCTCACCCTGTCTCTCTCATCCTCTCTGTCTCATCCTCTCTCTCTCTCTCCCCCTCTCTCTCTCACCCTCTCTCTCTCCCCCTCTCTCTCTCTCACCCTCTCTCTTCTCCCCCCCCTCTCTCTCTTCTCCCCCTCTCTCTCTCTCTCTCTCTCTTCTCCCCCCTCTCTCTCTCTCTCCCCCCCTCTCTCTCTCACCCTCTCTCTCTCCCCCTCTCTCCCCCCTCTCTCTCTTCTCCCCCCCCCTCTCTCTCTTCTCCCCCTCTCCCCCCCTCTCTCTCTCCTCCCCCTCTCCCCCCCTCTCTCTCTCCCCCCCTCTCTCTCTCTCCCCCCCTCTCTCTCTCCCCCCCTCTCTATTCTCCCCCTCTCCCCCCCTCTCTCCCCCCCCTCTCTCTCTCTTCCCCCCTCTCTCTCTCCCCCCCTCTCTCTCTCCCCCCCCCCTCTCTCTCTCTCCCCCCCCCCTCTCTCTCTCCTCCCCCTCTCCCCCCCTCTCTCTCTCCCCCCCTCTCTCTCTTCTCCCCCTCTCCCCCCCCCTCTCTCTCTCCCTCTCTCTCTCTCTCCCCCTCTCTCTCTCTCTCTCTCTCTCTCTCTCTTCTCCCCCTCTCCCCCCCTCTCTCTCCCCCTCTCTCTCTCTCTCCCCTCTCTCTCTCCCCCCCCCCCCCCCCCCCCTCTCTCTCTCCCCCCCCTCTCTCTCCCTCTCTCTCAATCACGGTGTTATCATCTTGTGAAGTATTTCTGACTAATACTGACGGCTGGCTTCGTCTGACTGAGGCCAACCAGATTTCCTGAGAAAGCTGTGAGCGAGAAACAGGAAATGAGTGCACGGTTAAAGTGTGGGTGTGTTTTTGTCAAGCTGGTTCTGTTACAACGGCTTTTTTTCAATGTTTACTGTATGTCATGAAATGGTTTGGAGATACGTCATGAACTCTTTGGACTTGTATTTACAGATGGGGACCTGACTTTTTAGTTTCAGTGATAATACTTTACTTTATGGATCTCACAACGGACGAATTCATACACACATATCACAAGGCATGCAGTGTGTTGTTACTTCCGTGCTTCTTACAGTCAAAGTGGGGTTAAGTGTCTTGCCCAAGGACACAAGAACAGCAGACATCAGTGGGAGTTGGTGGAGAAGGTCTTGCGGTGGCCTCAAACCCACAACCTTCAGGCTCAAAGGCCAATGCTCTACCAACTGAGCCACTGTTATTCAATGTATTCTTGTATTGACCTAAATCAGCTGTCGATTCACCAAAACAGATCAGAAAATCAAACGGCGCAGACACAGAAAATGCACTGATAAAAAACACACACAGACGTTGGTCCAAAAGGGGCAGAGACCAATGTTGAAAGTCCATAAATGTGGTCGAATCCCGAGTGTCCTGGATCCTCACCGCTGTCCTCAACACGCTGCCTTTATCGTACGAGAAAACGGTTTCATACTTGTAAGAAAGAGCCCTGTTACTCCCTATATGATGTTTTGGGCTGAGAGCTGAGGCTGTTCCGCTCGCTTTACACCTCTTTGTCTGAAAAAATGTGATTCAAAGTTGTGACAGAGACCAAAAGTTGAGACAAACTAGACGTAGAACTTAACTGTTTTGTGGGAAATGACAATCTAGTTCCTACGAAGTGATGTAAATGAAGGCATAGAGATCGTAATGAACTGGTGAAAAGCCCAAAAAGTCATGTGTTTTGTTTTAAAAAGTACAACAATGTGCTGTCCGTGATGTCATATACTAATAATAATAATAATAACAATGTTTGGTTGGTTCCTGAAGTTCCTGAAAAAGACTGAATTTCTCCTTTGTGAGATAATAAAGTACATTTCATCTCAAGTCCCTGAAGCTAAAACCAACAAAGTCTGTTTTTTGGATCAAAGTTTTTCCCATGAAATCAAAAAAACACCATTCTATCTCTTCTTTAAATCGTGTCTTGCAGGAGGTTGAGGTCCACATCGGGATATCATGAGGCCCACGGCAGTTTTGCATCACTTTCAATATATTTTTCATGAGTAAACATTATGCGGTAATGGAGCAGCTGTTGTGGAGGTTTAGCTGCTAATTCAATCGCCGCTGCAGCACGGGCTGGAATTAGCTTATTTTAACTACGGCCAAATGTGCCCGATACATGAGTGAATACAGGCCAATTTAACACGGGAAGAGCCACTTAGACGGAGACTGGAGGGAGCTCGTCGTCCATGATACAGCTGTTGATGAATCCTGGATCTACACTGCAAAAACATGATAATATAATGAATCAAGTGGTTTTTATTAGTGTTGTCCTAACCAACACAAATCAATTTTAAGTAGTTTTTTTAGCTGTGGTTGCTGTTAGTAGCGGTGGATGAACTACAGAAACCAGAAACAGGAAGTGAAACCCCCACCGAGGGTTTGGTTTGTGTTTTGGTCTTGGTCGCTGTGAGAGAGGTTGTGAAGCGCAAAATTCACAAATGGATCTTTACAAGCGTACAAGCGTTTAGTTTCAAAGCGTTGCCTGATCCGTCGACAGACAAGACCAAAGTTATCTGTGTGTGATGCCAAACACACAGCTATATATTCATAGAACCGTAGTTACATTAGGTAACTGGGGTTTCTCTGCCGGGTTCTCGTCCAGACGTGTGGATCTATAATAATAACACATGGATCTATAATAATAACACATGGATCTATAATAATAACACATGG